ATACACCAGAATGATACTTGGACCCTTTGGGAAAGTGCAAGCCCGCTCTCCGAAATCCGGATCTCCACACCCGAGACTGAGCCACCTACTTGAAGGATCATGGGACTTAGTAACGTTCCTTAACAGGGGCTCCTTAAAGGGATCTATAGGGTTCCTTAAAGGGATCTATAGGGTTTAGGATTTAGGGTCTACTTGGAGGATCACGGGACTTAGTAAGTAAGGTTACAAGTACTCTAATTGGAGTTATAAGTATAGTTACCTTACTTGTTTATAATCCGAGTTACTAAGTCCCATGATCCTCCAAGTACATGGACCCTACGTTCCACCTTGAATGCACCTCCCCAGCCCCTGCGTGCACAGGTTCAGGCTGCACCGCCACTGCGGAGTACTGCTGATACATTCGGCAGGGGTCCCGATTTGATTCGGGGTAGTACTTGGGTGCGAGGGTTTGTAAGTTTCATGTTTCAAACCGCGCGCGAGGAAAAACAGGGGCCCCACAGCGTTCCTCTCTGCTTACTTACGGGTCGAGGCTTCAACATCCGAGGGTTCCCTAAACCCTAAACCGCTAAATCCTAAATCCCTAAAACCCTAAACCCTAAAACCCTAAGCCCTAAACCCTAAACCGAGGGCTTGAAGATGTGGATTTTAGGGCTAGGCGGCTAGGCTTCCGCGCTTAGCATTTAATTTCCTACTCAAAATACCTTAGGACGAAAATAAAGAACCCGAAAAGGGTTTAAGGTTCATATACCCTCTGAGGATTCAAACATAGTATAATATTTTTAGGGGTTATTGGGTCCTTAAGGTAGCGGTGGGATTTGGGGCTCGCACTGCGGTGCTCGCAGAAGTCCAGCAGCTCGATAGATTAGAGCTATAGGAGAGTGTTATGCGTGATCAGTAAAACCCTAAGCCCTAAAACCTGAACTTAACGGGCCATTATTCTGCATTTTTATCGCTATTTAACACCGATGTTAGTTTCGCAGCGGTTCTTCAGAGTCTGACTTTAAGGGGTTGGGTATGTTTAGGTAGTGACCCCTGTAATGCCAGAGGAAGGGATTAGAGAGCTTAGGGTATAGCGTTTAGGGGTCTAGGGTCCAGAATGGGATGTGCCCGGTCGGACTTGACAATGTTTACCATGTCGCCCCGCTTTACAGCTGGGTCAGTTGCCGATGTGTCAAAGTCGTCAAGTCGTCGTCCGTCACACACGCAAGTCACATTTCATGATCCTCAACTAGCAGCATCCGACTGTCTGTGCGCGTGCGTGTGTTTTGGGAGGGGCGGGCTGGATGCTGTCGAGCCTGTATGATTGGATGGGAGATCAGTGCTTCCTGAATCCTGGTTTCCGATTTTGAACGAAGGCTCCCATGGAAATCCCTCCATCCCCTAAACCCTAAACCCTAAACCCTAACCCCCGCGGAATCCAATCCGACGCCTCGCCCTTGCAACTCATCTGGAGCCCAGACACCCTAGCCGAGCCCTGAACACCAGACACCAGACTCTATAGCAACTCTAAGCCCTACCCACCAAATCCCAAACCTACCAAAGCCCCTGAGCCTCTTTGGGGCATCTTGGGTTCCAGGCTTAGGGATGTGAGGGTTGAGGGTTTGCAGATCTGCGGGTTTGGTCCTTGAGATGGAAACTTTTCAGGGGGTTTTAGGGTTCAGCAAACCATACATGGAGTATCATGGGACTTAGTAACTAATCTGTACATAATGTAACTATACTTACAACTCCAAGAACCTGACTTACCAAGTCCCATGATCCTCCCAAGTGGACCCTAAGCCCGAATCGATCTCTGTAAGGAACCCTATAGATCCCTTTAAGGAGCCCTTTGAGGAACCTTACCAAGTCCCGTGATCCTCCCCTTGAAGGTACTCCATGGCCTTGGCAGGGCCGCCATCTTCATTTCTATGCCGTGATGTGCAAGGATGATGTCGAGGCGGGCTAAGGTTTTAGGGTTTAGGGTTTAGGGAGAATTGCCACTACGGTTATATGAGTCTTACAAAATGGTATCGGGTATATAATGGTATTAGTATGCCCGGATAGTCCCCAGATGATAAGCCTAGTATGGAGCGCAAAATCCTGTTCTAACCACTCAGGCCCCCTTTTGTAGAAGAACCAGACTTCGGAAGTCTGTTTTGGTCGCTTGTTCTATGAAGCTACCATATACAGAACTCTGGTTTGAATTTGGTTTGAATTTGAGTCCAGCGCAGTGCACTTCATGGAACGGTGCAAACCGTGAACCCTATAGGTCTAGACCCCAAACCCAACGCTCTTTTGCCCCAGATCCGCGCCGCGCCCACTTATGCCGACGACGCACGGGTTGGCCATTTCCTGCATCCTGGGCAGGTCGTAGCTACTCGACGCGAAGCTTGAGTTATGAAGTTGAGAGTTTTCAAGGGTTAATGGTGTAGGGCCCAGGTTTCGGGGCATCTAGCCTTGAACAAGACTAACTAAGCATTTCAAAGCTGTATGGTTCAGAAGCGACGGAGGGACGTTAGGGGTTTGGGCAAACGGTGCAGCGGTGGTGCAGTGTTTGCAGCTTTGCTTGTGACTGGAGACTCCAAGCCACAACCCAATCAAAGCTGCATTGGTCAACGGGTAACCTGGTCAGTACATTGTATATATATATATATACATACCTATGTATATATATATATATATATATATGTACATATATATATATATATATGCACATACACACACAAGATCTATAATGCATATATGCATACACATATGTATTTACATGTGCATCCGTGTATCTTAGTCTGTTTGTGTATATCACATACCCTGTAGTTGTGTATCACAATTTACATCTGACCTGTATTGCGGGCGTGCCAAGGAGTTTCAGACCGCAACTAACCACTTCTTGATTTGATATTTTCCGCGGTTCAATCCCCGCTGTGATTGCGGCTGCATGGTGCAACAATATCCGAGAAGCACGGCCGTCTGTGTTGTGGCGGAGGGCCGGCCGACCCGGGGCAAATCATGTCGTTCTCACCCCCCAAAAAATTGACCTCTCTAACAACAAACAGCTGCAGGGCGCACGTGATGTCCGACTTTAGAGCTTCCTCACCCAATGCCTGGCTTTAGATACGTTTTTTGGGAAGTGCTTGGCTCCCGAGGTCGTCGATGAGCGCAAGCTGGTGCGAGCCTGAAAAGCGGTTTAGGGTCAGGGTTTAGGGTCTTAGGGTTTAGGGTTAGGAGTTTTAGGGATTGACTAATCAGTAAATAATCATAATTAGTAGCAACTTCTATCCCGGTATTATAGCTTGTTGTAATAGGTAGCAATCGCATCCCGTCCAAACTAGCAACCCTAAGCCCGAAACTTAAACCCAAGCCCCTAGCTCTCATCCTGCTGCAATCCTTTGCTAAGTTTAGATCCCTCAGCCTCGAACGTCCGAAAGCCCAGACCTCGGCCCGCGGGGGCCGAAGTTACACTCGGTATGAAATTGGGATCACCTTTTCAATTCCCCTTATTGTTGAATAGAGAGCCCTAATCCAAAATCAAGTTGGGGACTGTTGATATCGACACCTAGTACGTTACGGGCAGCTGCAGCGCGGCGGTGTGTTCAGCTTAATCCTGAGGCCAAAGTGCAGCCAAGCCCCTCTTGGACTTTGCATGACATTTAGGGTTTGGGGGTGTAGGGGCATGTAGCTAGCTGGTCTTGGTTCGATTCCAAGCTTGTTGATGTGTGCTCCTTGCCCGGTAATCCTGCACCTGAAATCGTGGGGTCATGTGGGTCTTGTGTAGGCATCTTCTTTGCAAAATCTGCTCTACATTGGGCAGAACTCCCTGAAGAGTAAGAGCAAGTCCCCCCCAACTCGCACCGAGGTGAATAAACCCTAAACCCTAAACCCTAAACCGCGAGGTGAATAGCACGAGCTTTCTGCATCTGGCAGACGAGCGCGGCTGGGTCTTTGAAACCAAGGACTGAGCAGTCCTTGAGTTCAGCTCCTCTTCATTCATCTGTCTGGTTCTTAGTAGAGAATACGGTTCTTTTAAGGGTTCCTGTGAAGGGTCCTATAAGGGTTCTGTAAGGGATCTTGGAGTATCTATAGTCCCTGTCTGGTTCTTAGTAGGGAATGGGGGAATGGATTGTGGAGACTATTATTGGGGATTCTATAGGGGGGTACTATAGGGATCCATTCCCCCATTCCCTACTCAGAACCCGACAGTCATTTCAGAATGCAGCTGCACAAGTTCTGGACACCAAGCACGGGCCCAGCGACTCCGCCCTAAACAATAAGTCCTGATACATACAGGGTTGGAATACTCAGTGATCGTATCCCCTGGCAGTCCCTATACATGTTTAAAGTACAGTATAGTATAGTATAGGCTACCCAAACGCCTTATTCCAGCAATTAAGACGACCACGGTACCCTGCAACAATTAACATGGGCCGCGAGGCTACACTTCGCACCGGGAGTCGTCCGCAAATCTACTGGATAGATATATCAGATCCAGTGGCATCGTGCCCAGCATGTTGATTGATATTCTTGCTGCTCTGCCAAGCGGCAATAAAGGCATGATGCTGATGCTGACGTTGTTCGAGTTGATGTCGCTCATGGTGACGATGGGCGATTATGATGATGACGTTGGCAGTGAGGATGATGCTGGTTGCTGTTGTGGTGCCGGTGCTAATGCTGCTGATGATGATGAGGATGGATAGTGGTTATGGTGGAGATGGTAACGGATGCTGATATTATTAGCTATTGTCACGGTGCGGCCTTGAGTTCATTACTTGTAGGAAGCTATGGCCACTACCACTTCCACTGTTCCATTCCCGTTCTCCGTGACGACGAAAACAAATACATTCTTTGCCTGCATTGCGTCCTCATGCACCCATTCCACCATCCTCTTTGGTCTGTTCTTGCTGTTGTTTGCACTGTATCTCACGGCTACTACACTTCGAATGTTCGTGACTATAAACATGGTTATGGAAACTTAGATGATGGTGACGGCGATGTGCTCGGGACCATGAGGCCATCATCATAAGCATATGGCATGTGGCAAGTCTGTCAAAGAGCAGGTCACCGATCAAGTGCACCGTTTATACAAGAGATACCCCAAACCTCGAGCAATGAGTGGCACGGTTCAGGGTTTAGGGTTTGCCTATGTAGACAGTCAGGCCCATAACGAAGGAGGTTTACGCAATTTCAACCGGTAAGTAAAATGTGGCAGTAGGCAAAGCTTCCAGGCAGCAAAGCCATTCAGTTTCATGGAGATAGCTTGACCTGTAATTGTCCTGGGTTCGGAGTACCATACTTGAATACGTTTTTTGGTACCTGTTTCTTGAAGGAACCATTATGAAATAGAAGTCTCTACTTTTTTCTCCCTGGTTTGCTCGAGGACCGACTGCTCGTGTTGACGGAGGTGCAAGAGTTCGAAAAAGGGTCGGGCGCTGAGATACTGAATCTCATGACGCGAGAGTCTGAGCTGTTAGGGCAGAAGCAAGCATTTTAGGGTTGTTGGGAGGATTAGGGGATTCGAGTGTTTGTGAGTTTGCAGGGTCAAAGGGTTTAGGCAGGTAGGGTCGTAACTGAAGGACTCCTTGCCTTCCGTGGTTGCTTGTGCGTGATGTACACATTCGCGCTTGGATGCAATATCGCTGCATCAACTTAAGCCGGTCTGTGTATAGGTACCTAGGTGCAGTGTACCTATGCATTATCCTGCGGACATCAGGGTTACCCGTTGGTCAGGAGTTTGGTGCTGCTGCAGGGTGTGCGTGGGGGCAACTGTACAGCCTGCAGGCTCTGGCACTACAGCGTCATCTGCCAGGCGCACTTCAAACTCCAGAGAAAAAATGGAGGCTTAAATAATTAGCCTATACCATTTTGGGTTTTTTTAATTTAGATTAGTAAAGTATAGAATAGCGGGCCCCAAAACCCTATTCCAAGTATAAAGGCCCCTATACTCTTGAACCCTACTATTATAGACCCTTTTTAGTACGTAACCCTTACAGACTTCTTTACATGGAATCGTAAGGAACCCAAAAACTAAGTGCAAAAGGCTCCGATAGTAAGGCTTAAGAATTACCGATACCATGTTGGGGGTCTTTATTAGAAGTATAGTATTTGCGGCCCCAAAACCCTATTAAAAGCACAAAAGGCCCCGATAGTATTGGACCAGAGCGTGGAAGACCCAGGGTTGCCTGCAGGGAGGACCCGTGGAATCGCATCACCTCATCCTGTGGATGATATAAATCCTGCATTACCCATAATAAGGAATATACCATGATTCCCATAGTTTAGGGTCCTTAAGGTAATGCAGGAGTTATATCACCTTAAGGACCCTAAACTATGGGAATCATGGTATATTCCTTATTATGGGTGATGCAGGATTTCTATCATCAACCGTCCCCCTCCGCAGAGGCCCGAAGAAGCTGAACACATGGGTGGTTGGCAAAATTAGGGTCCCTTTTTTGGGTCCTGATTATAATACGGCACCTAATATTTAGGGTACCCAAAAATGGACCATAGTTTTGACCCAACATTGCAGACTTTTAGATCCCTCGGCTGCTAAGTGTTTATTTAATCGCAGTGAGCCGATGTCATGGACGGTGTGAAAATCATGCTTGCGACATGCGTAGCTTGCTAACCTTACGATCTTCATCATCATCGTCGTCATCATCATTGTCGTATATCAACATCATCATAGCACCATCATCTTCAGCACCAGTACGATCCTCATCCTCATCGGCACCGCCATGATGTCATGATGGGCTTCATCATAGCAAACCTCCAAATCTTAGTCATTAAGCTCTCGGTGCCGTGAATTGCAACTTCACCCTGACATCGTCCGGTACAAGCCCTTCTTGCCGGCTCTCGCACAACACGTGAGGAAGACGTGGAGACTCGAATGTCGCCCACGTGCGCCTGCTTCGGCGAATTTTGTGAATCCTTGAAGGTTGCTGTAAGCTGGTTTAGGGTCATGGCTGCAGCTGTTCGAAATGAGCACTCCAGTTCCCACAGGACGAGAACGGAGTTCAGTCATCCCCGAAATCGAGGGTAGGAGTGTCATACCAAGATTGCCGTCGTAGAACGGAAGTTGCTTTCCATGGGCATCACCTCTTCGGGTTGTATTCCCCGAAGTCCAATTTGAAACACCTCTTCTTGTGTGATACTGTGATATTTATTCTAGTATGACCCTTTATTTTGTTTTCGGAAATCTCGCAGCTCTTCTCAACCGAATGCGGTCCTACCGTGCAGAAACATCTTCAGCGTGGCTGAGCCTTGATCCCAAACGCCGAAACAACCATACACCAAGATCTGATTCTACTATAGGGGCCTAGATGGTTACCAATACTATTTTGGTAGCTCTTTATCATATTCATAATGTAGCGAGTCCCAAATCCCTGTTCCAATTTTTAAGGCCCCCATGTTTACCTTGAACTCACTACACCCTAGACGCTGAATCCCAGCGAATCTATTCCGTAAACCGTAACCGCTACCTTTTTTGTCTGACAAGCTCTTCCGCGTGAGGGGGGGGGAGTGAGATTTCGTGCCTTTTGCTGCAGTGGCGCGTCATGGAGGTACTCTGACGATGCTCGGACAGGTGTAGTTCTGATGTCAGGCCATGCGCAGCATTTGCAAAATGCAGTGCTCTCGGCGTGGTTGGAGGCTTCTGAGAGATTTCGAGGTTTCAGGGTTCTTGAACGGCAATTCTAGTCATGGACTTTGGGTTTGGAGCTGGGATCAGGAGCTTAAGGGCTTTCTTTGTACCCGATATATCGCAGTGTCAGGACCGCACACCCGGAGCAATGAATCCGGTTTATGCAACAGAGAAGCCTACACTAGACTCCTGAACTTATCTTAACAGCTGAGCCCCGATCCCGACGCCCCTAAACCCCAAAAGAGCCAGCTGTTGCGCATTCCAGCGCTTCACCCGTGGAAGTGTTTAGGGCTTAGGACGTAGGATCCTTTATTCGGGGATGGCTAGTTCATCTAGTGCTGGGAATAACTATTTATGTTATCCCCTTATTAGTCTCCTTTTACAATTCCACTATACGGTAACCCTAAGCAATGTTCTCATCAATAGCATCCCCTTATGGTCCCTATATCAATATAACTCTACTACGAGGCAACCCTAAACAGTGTCCGAATTATTGAGCCCCTTATATTAGAGGTGACTGACCCGTCACCTCGCAGGTGACTGCATCGCGGTCGACGAGCGATGCACTGTCGCCGGCGCTCGGTAGTCGCCTTAGGGTCAAGGCAGTTTGCAACAGACTTCCTCCTGGAGTCGTCTCTTCTAGAGGGTTTAGGGTTTAGGAGATTTGCATTTTGAAATGAGACGTTTCATCTTCAGACCAAAACCCTAAAGCCTTAACCTTGAACCCTAGACCCTGAATCTTCATTCCGCCCTAATCCCTGAATCCTAAAGTTTCTTGAAACCTTGAGGAAAGCATATCGCGCCAGACTACATTATTGTTATCCGATAATTACTCACTATTCTTGACCCCAAAATGCGCTAAAATTGTTAGGTTGACTAAGTCTGTCTCTGAATCCGATGGCCGACCCGTGTCCGGCAAGAGGCCCAACCCAACCGCTCCAGGCATGAGCTGGGGTCAGGGTATGCATGGGGTTTATAGGGTTTAGGGTTTAGAATTTAAGTTTTAGTGTTTAGGGTTAGGGTTTAGATGGGGTTTATAGGGCTTAGGGTTTAGAATTTAAGTTTTAGTGTTTGGGGTTAGGGTTTAGATGGGGTTTATAGGGTTTAGGGTTTAGAATTTTATTTTTGGTGTTTAGGGTTAGGGTTTAGGGTTTGGGCTAACGGTTGAGTGGTGTAGGGGTTTAGGGTTTAGGCTTCAAGAGATCTGGGTGTCCCTTGCCCCTCGCATTCTCTCCCTCCCTCAAAAGGTACTGCAGGGTTCTATAATGGGGTTCCCTGGAGTTTTAGGATTGTACAGTAGGGTTGCCCTCTGGGCCAAGTTATTACCCGTTCATGCTTTTCTGGCGGGCATTGACCACAAGAAAGAGAATCATTGGTCAATGCTTGGGCTACGAACAAACAATCCGGAGCATGAAAGGCAACGCATGAGCACGGTGCAAAGCTATACGGAACCCAACAAACTGCAGACCCGTGAGTATAGCTCTGCTGATTGCAGTGCGGATCAGAACTTTCAGGCACTCAACGAGCAAATGATTAATCAGTGGTCTAATCACAAACCACACCCAGAAGTCCTCACCCGTGGCCTATAGTCCCGTCATGATGTAATTATAGTCCCCAAAACCCTGAACCCGAAAGTATGGAATACTATACAACTTGTAACTATACTCGGCAAAGTCTTCAGGAATCCAATATTGCCACCGAGGGCCTTTTTTGTCTGTACTTCTCCTGTTCTAAAACCCTCAGTCGGTGTCCCGAAATTTTTTCTACGACAAGGAGGAAGTTCCCACCCAAACCCTAAACCCTATACATCCTTAAACCCTAAACCCAAGCCCTAAGCCTTAAAATTTTAAGACCCTAACATCCCCAGTCCTCAGCCCTAACACCCTAAAGCCCGTAACCCCTAAAGGCCCAAAGCCCTAAAACTTTTGGCTACCCTAAGGCCCCAAAGTAGTTCTTTTTGGGGGTTTAGAATCCTATAAGGTAATCCCAAAAGGAACTACTTTGGTGCCTATGGGTGAATTAGCCTCCAACCTGAGGTTCTCAAAGGGGAAAAGGAGGGACCCTCAATAAGGTCCCCCAGGTATATACCCTTAATATAGCTATGATATACCCATTATATAGCCCATTACAGGCTAGGGGTCCCCATTAAAGGTCCCTCCTTTTCCCCTTTGAGGTGAAAAGGAACTACTTTGGGGCTGAAACCCTAAACCCTAACTGAGGTTCTTGAAGCTGGCGGACGGCCGGGGTTGGGTTTTCGAGACGAAAGACCGTCTTCTCGTCATGAGCGAGGCCGGAACTCGGGCTTAGGGTTTCGGCGTGTCTAGGGTTTAGGGGTTTTAAAGTTTAGGCGTTTAGGGTTTAAGGGTTTCCGGTAGTAACATGTTGTGGAATTCTGCAGCCTACAAGTGCTCAAGTGCCAGGTGCGGGCAAAGGAGAAGGAAGCACGCGACTTTGCGAGGGGCCTTTGGCACCTTCCCCAGGTGTTCGTGTGTTTTGGAGCTCATGGTGTGATGTTCAATGTTGGTATCGTCAGGGTTGGTTTTTTCCGCAAGATAGCTTTAGTTGTGAGGGGCTCCTGGGTGAAGAGAGGGTTCCTTGTCCAGAGGTGCTTCGCCCCTTGCTCGCGGCATGCAGAGGTCATGCAGGTGGCATGTAGGTTGTTTGCGCCGGCACAGTTTTTGTTGCTGACTCCGTTGCCGGTGTGTGTCGTTGAGTTTTTCGTCGTGCTTACAATTAAGTATATCGTTAAATGGGGGCGTCGGCATCTTCACCCAAGTCCTCTTCTTCGTCCGCGTCGATGCGTCGACTGTCGCTGGTGATGTGGCTGTGAGCAGCTTCATTACGCTTCCACACATCAGAGGATCGTCCTCTTCTTCAGCCAGGGACGACAGATGTCTGAGGGTTGTTGATGTTCTCGCTGAAAAGCTGCGGGGCTCAGGGCTCAGGGTGCCAAGTTGCAGGGTCCAAATTTCAGGTTTGCCGATGGTGCTTGTGTGTGAAAGAGAGTCAGAGGGAGGGAGAGAGACAGAGAGAGCGAGAGACAGAGAGAGCGAGAGAGAGTGCATGCGATCTCCTCATCAACGAACCGTAGATTCGCACCAGAAGTATGAAAGATACTTGGGGACCCGAGCTCGGATACTTTAAGCGGATAATAAGGCTTCGGAGTTTGGGATAGAAGGCGAATAGAGCTCTTGCGTCTCCTTGGTACAGGGTATCAGAGTTCATAGAGTGCGAACGAGAGCGGATAGTGTTTGGGACAACACCGTAATCATCGTAATCACGGCACATATAGAGGTTGGAGAATCGGTGCCTGCAGGGTTTCAGCTATGGCGCTTTGAGATGTGTAGTGTAGCAAGCTGCTGATCGCCCTGGCAGCTTATTGTAGCCCATGCCTGCTGCCAGCCCGTCTGTTTTTTGTACCCACCCAGTCTTGAGACCTCCACACTCCACGCCTCAGACACATGATTTGTTGTGAACCTGTGTAAACTCGAACCTCCAAACTCTACAACAGCTGATACCCTGAACCTTAAACCGTGTGCTGAGGCATTACACCGTCGTTTGTGACGACGACGTGGAGATACGTGCAGCTCCGACCTACTCGGACGAGGCAATAATTGATGCTTCGAATGTGGAGTCTGGGTTTCAGGGTTTATGGTTTGACCTTAAACTCTAATCCCTAGGACTTCGTTTACATTCCGTCGGTCAGGTATAGGGTGTCATCGCAGTTTTATCGCCATCATTAGGTTTTTACCGCGAGTATCACTTTTGAACCAGTCTTATCACTAGACCTCAAACCCCAAAGCGACCCTGGCGCGTGCGCCTCTCGGAGACCTTCGGGCGTCCGCAGAAAAGGAGCTCAAAAAAAACAAAGCGACTGTGCATGTAGCGGACATTTTCAGGGTTGGAGCGACACCCTGACTCCCAGCCTACATGACGCGCCAAGCGCCATGATGCGGAAGTCCCTTCAAACCCTAAAGGGTCCTGGCTACAATTCTGGGTGATACTTCACCGAATCTTAATTGTTTCAATAGATCTTAACTAACAGTAGTTCTTTATATAGGAGCCCTACATTCTACTTATATGTACTGTGACCTTTGCGAACACTGAGTCGAAGACAGGAGCCCGTATGACATGTGTGGGGATCTAAACCCCAAAAACTCCTAAGCCCTCCAACACTAAACTTAAACCCTATAAGATCCCTCAAACCGCTTAAACCTTATAGAATTCTAAATATGAGCCACCAAAAGGAACTACTATGGGGCCTATGGTAACCCTATAAAATCCCTCAAACCGCTTAAACCCCAAAAGCTCCTAAGCCCCCAAACCACACAACCCTATAAAACCCTAAACCCTAAACCCTAAACCACTAAACCCTAAACCCTAAACCCTAAACCACTAAACCCTAAACCCTAAACCCTAAACCCTAAGCCCCCAAACCACAAAAAACCCTATAAAATCCCTCGAGCCCGGAGGCTCGGACCGGTCTTACCGTTCATCCTGGAGACTGCGTCGCGGTGGACGAGCCGCTCCCTCGGGGTTTCTTTTTAGGTTTTCGCTTTTTTTTTTTGGTTTGTGTCGTTTTTTTTTGTTTCGTTATATGGGGTTTGGGGTTTAGTTTTTGTGGGTTTAGGGTGTAGTCGTGTAGTTTCATGTCCTTTCCGGGGGGGTTGTCGGGTGGTCGTGGTGTTTTTGTGCTGGCAGTTGAGCTTCAGGGTTCGAGTTCGGGGTTTGTGCGGCGTTTGGGGTTCAAGCTGTGGGGTTCAAGATTCTCGTTATATAAGGGTTTTTCAGCGGTTTGTTTGGGGTCCTTGTTAAGGAACTTGATATAAGCTACCAGAATATGTAAGGGAACCTGTGTCATGAGGTAACTTGAACTCAACTCCTTAACACAAGCCCAGTTGAATATTCTGGTATTCCAGGTCTGCAAGGTTAGGTTCCGGGCGTTAGGGGTCTCATGTCTAAGATTAGCGGTTGTGGTTTCGAAGCTGGGGGCTTTGAGTTTAGGGTTCAGGGTTGACGGGGCTTTCGAGATTCAAGTTTGAGGGTCCGGAGCTCGGTGTTTAGGGTCGAGGTTTCAGGTTTTGGGGAGGGGGTGTTGTGGCGGCCCACGAAGATAGTAGGGCTTGCGTTTGGAGTGCCCCTAGACCCTGAGCCCTAAACCCCAAACCGTATAACCGTGCGCTGAAGTGAGGGTTTCTTTGTGCCCTGCCGAACCCTATCTCGCAAAATGGCCTACAGTAGACACAACTAAAGACTTGTTGGTTCAGTAGTTTAGGGTTCCAGGTTCAGGTTGCGTGGTTTCGGGTTCCAGGTTTAGGTTGGGCGTTCAATCGTAGACGCCGATTTACGGAATATTTGTATACACCAAGGTAGCGTTAGGGAGACCCCTTAAAGGGCACCTTCTGGACCCTACTTCTGGATTTCTTAAAAGAAACTTGTTCTTAGAGGGCCTATATCCCCATGGGTCCCCTAATCCTAACTCCTAAAGTGACGTACGAACCCTAAGCGTGAAACACTAAACCCCTTTTAAGGGCCATGAGGGCTCCATTAAAGGGCCATTGGGGGGCCCTAAACCCTAAACCTTGAACCCTAAACCCTAAAACTTAAACCCTAAACCCTCAACCTTGAACCCTAAACCTTAAACCCTAAACCCTACAACCCTAAACCTTGAACCCTAAACCCTACACCTTAAACCCTAAACCCTAAACTCCTCAACCTCCTGGTAAACAGACTGAGAGTCGACAGATAAACTCCTCGCTCAGGCGCTGCCGCGTCAACGCGACGTGGTTCCTCCGCCTCTCCGACGGTCGCGGCTGGCTCTTCGAGACCAAGGACCGTATCATGCTGCTTTGGGTTTTTTTGGGGGGTTTAGGGTTCAGGGTGTAGGGTGCTCTCCTTGTGTTGTTGGTCCACTGAACGGAAACATCAGGCTAACCATAAGCCACATTACAAAGGTAACTTCGGCTCTTCCTGAATATGGGACGACGTCTTGGTGAGGATGCATTTTTGACAGTGATGCTGGAAAGGCTCATGCGAGTTCTCACGTTCACGGCTTTTCTTCAACATGGGTGTACCTGGAGTGGAAATGATAGTTTCCGAAAATAGTGGTACCTTATTCTGGGGTCCTTATAATGAGGATCCTACTATTTAGGGTACTATATCAGGGTCCCCTATTTTCGGAAACTCCAAAAATTGCTGTCTTCATACCCAACAGTCAGCCCTAGGGATCCCTAAACAAGTTACGCTCAATCAATGTTACAGTAACAGACTCCCATATGGGTGGTTGTCAAGATGATGGTCCCTTGTTGGGTCCCGGTTATAATACGGCGCCTATTATTTAGGGTACCCAAAACGAGGCCGTAATTTCGACAACCACCCATATAGCAAGTACTAACCTACAGTTTAAATTGTACTAAACCCAAGTACCTGATTAGTGGGTACCTTGGGCTGTTGAAAACCACTGTCAGGTGCTGTGGACCCTTCGGGTACCCGTCCACAGCTTGGTGTGTGTTTGCAAAACTGTGCGTAAAAGAGATCCTGCATGTTCCGACCATGTCCTACTTTTTTCTGTCGTTATTGTGTGGGCTCATCTTCCGAAGCCCCCATTGTTTCTTTTCGACACGATTCGGAATCAGATGCTGAAACGGAGGATTCCCGACGCATCATGATTCAACTACGCTGAGCATCGCCCAGCAGGCAGGGGAGGGTTTCTAGGGTGTGTGTGTGTGTGTTGTACTACAATGGTAAGAAGGATACTGTTCCAGTTTTTCAGGCCCCTGTATTACTCTCCTCACAGTCTGAGTATGCTGTATGTATACCTGGCCTCCGCTACAAGTATCTTACATCAACTGTCGAGCGGTCCGAGCAACCACGTGTGTACCAGATGCACATACGAGCGTGTTGGACGTAGGTTCGTAGATACGTACATACATACACACACATACACACACACACACACACACACTCATACTCTCTTTCTCTCTATCTGCATCATATCTTTAAGTTTCTGTATATACAACTAATATACATATATGCATATATGTACGTGTATATGCATCAGTACATGCACACACACACACACACACAGACAGACAGAGTGGTGGGCCTGTATATACAAATCACTCGCGCCGAAACCCTAAACTCTAATTTGCGAATCAATCGGCACACATTTTCGGGAGGCTTTCTCCCCAATCCCTAGGTTACCCTCACTAAAGCAGAGTACTGCAACAAGCTACCTTTTCGGCGAAGAACGGCAGGTCACAAGCTGACACAGGTGCCGAAATGGTTAGCACTATTTTTCCTTAAGGCTCTTTGTTATCATGTTACATGTTTCAAAAAGAAACATTACATAAACCGAAGCCCTAAGCCCAAAATTCCGAGTCTATACTCTGGTAGGGAGAGTACCGGGTACCCTTAAACCCTCAGCCTTTGAAGAAGGGCTAAACCCTGGACCTAAAACCCTAAACCCGGACGTAAAACCCTGAAGCCCCGCACCCTAAACCCGAACCTAAATCCTAAAGCCCTGAAGCCCTACCTTAACCCCAAGTAACCTACCTTTTTAAGGACTTATATAAAGAAATCATATTAGGGAACCCTAAAAAGGTAGGTTCCTTAGGGTCCAGGTAAACCCTAAACCCTTTACCTGCCAGGAGAGCTCCTCGCAGCTTCCCCCGCAGTGAGAGGTGCGGAGTTGGCAGGACCCCTGGCAGAAGCCATGCACGGGTCGTGTGATTATGTACTATACTACGATCTTGTTATGATATGACTGTATTACTAAAATAATTACTATGTATTCGATGTACTATAAACTAGATACTGTAATGTCCATGGACCCGATAGAATGATGATGTTTCCGCGCCTTGGTTGTTGCTTGACTTCACAGCTAGGTGTCCTTCCATGCAAAGATCGGTAGGATGCCCCAAAGACGGGCAGATGTGGACGTTTCAGCTCGCCTCTGCAATACGCGGAGCGACCAGATTCCCGGAACCAGAGACTACATATGAGTGAATGCAAACCAAGATCAAAAGCAGGTTTCCGGCAGCAGGTCCTATGGATCCTGCATGACGACAGTGCCAGAACTCGCCTAGATTTGGCCAAGTTCCTGCCCCGACTACAGAACTTGAGGACTAGCGTGCTGAAGTGGTTCTTCGGATCGCCTAGGGTCGGAACAAAAAGTCAGAGTAGGCCCTATAGCAACATTGATGTAGAATACCCCGAAGCCCTTTGCCCTAATCATGAAAGCCCCCGTTTCTTGTTTTAGCATATGGCGTCGGGAAGTTGCACATTGCTGGATGTTTGGCAGTAGCCTTCAGGATGTTGGGGTGATCTTGAGCTCTATGCTGTGGAAAGGAACTGCCTTACAAGTGTTCCTCATGAGGCTTTCAGCATGTGCATGTCAGCTTTGTCTTTTGAAGCCCGGGGCCGGAACGGGGGGCGGGTGCAGAGGCAGTTTTTGGGGTGCTCCAGCTTTTTTTGTTCAGTCGATATGATAGCTTTTCGGTGTTGGTGGTTCTTTGCAGCCTGCAATCGTCTTGATCGCTGATCGCTGCATGATTTGGGCTGTCAGCGGTTCAACTGTCTCGTAGTGTCCATGTTCTTTGTGTTTGCAAGCATCTATTTTCTAGGGCTGCGCCATGAGAAGTCGCTCCTTGCACAGTCTCTAGACCTCGTAATACCCAGGAGTTGGCTTCACCAGCTCTCAGGTGCACCTCAACCCCAGCACAACTCAGCCGCAAGCTGCGTTGATTTGACTCTGCATTCAGCCCCTCTCTTAGGATCCGCCGTGTGTTTCTGCAGGTACGCAGCCGTAAATCATATTAGGGATCCCACTATAATTCAGGCTAAATTCCTCAATCAAAGGGGTTTTGGAAGATCTATCTATAGTTCGGTGGCCAGAGTGCCAAAGCTCACAGCTGCCCACTGCACCGCCACGCCTGCCAGTTCGCTCTCTCAGGCCTTGCGCTGCCCAACTTGCGAAACCCCAAAACCCCTAAACCCCTAAGAGGACCCCCCAGGTACGCTTTGAAGAGCTCTGATAGTTGTACTTGGGGGCTCCAATAAAGGGTAGTTGGGGGGTCTAGGTAGACCCTCACTTTTCATTTAGTTATATCGTCAAAGTCGTTCCAGGTGTTGTCTTGGGCTGTCAGCGATGAATTCTGGGCGGGAACCGCTGGGCCTTGAATGCTGTAGTGCTCTCAGGAATTATGTTTCATATGCATTGTTATCAAACACCGAGGGCTTAGTAAAAGTGTCATGCTCATTATGGGTTTCAAGGGTGCTTAAGCTTCAATTAATGTAGGGGGCCGGAATGATTGCGCATATTATTCCTCGGGGTTCCTTTCTTGTTCTAGTTGTATTTAGCGGTATATCCCGAAACCTCAGGTAATCATTCCACGGCGTTCCTTACGTATTCTAGTTGTATTTAACGGTATATCGCCAGACCGGGGACCCAGATATCTACTAAGAATCTACTATATAGGAATCTGCATCCTTTTGGTATACCTAGGTTAGTCTTCGAAACGGGAGCGGCGTGTCATGTAACCTGCAAGCACTGCTTGCAGAGTCTGGGTTGTAGTGCCTTCGGCGAACCTTGGCACCCACACCTTAATCCGGGAGGGTAAGGGTGTAGGGAACCGAACTCGAAATCACTATCCCTAACCCTAACAGCTGAAACCCAAACCCTGCAACTACCGAAACCCTTCTGCCTTTCTGTAAGCCCTGAGGCCCTCAGGCCTAAACCACAGTGACAAAGCCTACCCTAAACTCTGAACCCTAAACCCCTAACCCCTAAACCATATACCGTGGCAGCAGGGGCTTGGCCCAATGCATTTAAAGAAACAACCATATACCGTGAGGAGAGGATCCCCCGAAGTCGGAAACCTGCAACTTGTGCCCTAGGACCCGGGGATCCCTTTCCAGGGCTCAGGGCCTGGGGTATGCATGAGGTTTAATGTAGGAGCCTTAATAATTAGAATAGGGTTTGGGGGTATATCATAGTATATCCTAAACCCTAAACCCTAAACCGTATACTTTTTTAGAAGGAACCACCATGGTGGATGATGACGCCCCCTTGACCGAGCTCAAAACCATGCAGTTTGACGATGTCGGGCTTCCAAGCTTCGCCCGGCCTTTAGGGTTTAGGGTTTAGGGTTTTGCTAGATCTTTTATCGGTTTTTAGGGGGTTAGAGTCCCAGGGGTTTTGGGGGTTCCATGTTCCGGGGGGACAGTGGGAGCACTTTCAATCCTAAACCCCTAAACCCCCAAACCCCTAAACCCTAAATCCTAAACCCTGAAACCCTAAACCCTAAACCCCTAAACCCTAAACCCCTAAACCCCTAAACCCTAACACGGACGTCATAAGAGATGTTCCCTTCTCTGCACATCGCATGCACCGGGAGCCGGAGAATGCCAAGTCTCTTAGATACCGTCGTCATGATCAACAAGGGGATGACGATAATGATGGTTATCATCTGATGATCATAATAATAATAACAATACAAATAACAATAGTACTATGAATCTTAAGTTAGTACTGTTATTGTTATGAGTATTACTTTAGCTATTCTCATCACCATTATTGCCATGATTATCATCATCGCGTCATCATGGGTATCATCAGCTTTATGATGATCGGCATCGATGTCTCTCTTCTTCTCTCTTTCTGTCGAGCTCTCTCTCTCTCTCTCTCTTCCTATATCTTTTTATGCGTTTGTTGATTGTAGTGCGTTTGTGTTGTGTTTGTCTGTTCGTGTCTCTTTCCCTCCCTCCCTCCCTCCCTCCCTCGGTCTCTCTCTCTCTCTCTCTCTCTCTCTCTCTCTCTCTCTCTCTCCGTGTTTCTCTTTATGTTTGCGTGCTCCTGTGCATGTGTTCAGTGTGTCTCTGTCTCTGTGTGTACAAGGGCAAAGATGTACGTCGTAGGTGTAAGCATTGAATAACATCTGCCAGCAGTTCGTGTACGGTTCGCATTGAAGGTGTCGCAGCCGTGGCTGTGCCAAGCCCACTTGGTGATCTAAGGACATGCCTCTGGCTTCCTTGGCCACCAGCACGCCGCAGAAGCCGTCTAAGGCCAGCACCGCGCAGCATGTGACTATACTATAATACTATAGACGATATACCATGTACTGTATGCTGTATATTCTATACCTTATACTTTATACTATACTTCATACTATAGTTTTTACTGTACTTCATACGTCATACTAGACTTTACACGCAGCCGGTCGGGGAGTTCTTGGACCTGGAAGATCAAGAGCTATCTCACATAATGTTATGCAGAAGAGCTTCTTAAAGTTGAGCAGTCAAGGTGCAACACTGGCTATGCCACACGCGCACACACACACACATACACACACACACACACACACAGAATACGAGTCAGTCAGGGGGTGTCTCGCAGCATGATGTCTATTCTCCCCCCTCAGAGCGGTCCAGCGGACATGTTACGAAAACTAAACGGTAGCATATCATACTTCAAGCAAGTTTTCATTCCAGCATTGCATCTGTCGGCTCTCTGGTCAGAGTCTGTGCTGCAGCCCTTTGCATGGTGGTAGGTTGTTGGTGTCTACGTGGAATTTGTGTTTACATGAACCCCGAACTCTAAACCCAGCAAGATCCAAAAAGTATTCCCGCAAACCTCGGTTCGTCTCGATGCTTTCACGAACTTTGGGTTGAGCGACGGAGTTGGAGGCAGACTCGGGTGCTGACAGTAGTTTCTTGAGGCGCAAGAGCCTTAAACATTGAGTCCCCAGAGCCCGAGGGGGAATGTCCAGAGCCATCCCTTGCTGCAGGCGGCCACAGCGAAAGGCCCGCGATCCAAGAACTCGGTTGGAGCACAGAGTCTTCCGATTTTAACCACAAGCCTGTTTTGTTGAAGGAGTTCCGTCAGGGTTGCATTGCTTCTAACAGCTTCTAAAAGCGTGACGTTTGAAGTGGCTGTGCCCGTTCGGGAAGTCAGAGCATCGGGTTCTAGACCAGACCTTAAACCCTCAAACCATAGCCCGAAAAACCCGTACAAAGCAGAAAACAGCATATTATGATACCGCATGTTATGTATTGGTGCAGCATCGCATAGCATAGTAGAGTACAGTATAGTATAGTATAAAATTGTAAGGCATGGTATGATATGATGCGGTATAGCATAAAATGGTAAAAGGATCCACGGTATGATATGGTATGGTGTGGTATAGCACAGCATGGTATAGCATAGTATAGTCTAGTATAGTATAGTATAGATAGTATAGTCTTGTCTGGTCTAGTATAGTCTGTATAGTATAGTACAGTGAAGTATAGTACAGTATAGTATGGCATAGTGCACAAATTTGGGCCCGTGAATTTGCTAAGAGCCTGCTGTATTGGCATTTGGGACTGTATAATAACCCCGTGCTCTTAAGTTTAGTCTTGACATGTCCGTGTTAGGTTTCGATGGTTTTCCGTGGAAAAACGATAAGAAGAAAATGAAACGATAACAAAACATAACGAAATGGTAACGCATTTTTCGTGGTAAAACGATAAGAAGAAAATAAAACTATAACAACACTCAGGGATAAGGATTTTTATAGGGGGTTATTATACAACCCCATTTGGGTGTCTTAAATTGAAACTGAAGGGCTGGTTGGTTGAGGATGCAGGGGTAAAGTTATAGCCTATAGGCGTACTGTCAAGGGTTTAGGGGTGAGGCTGTCGCTGTCTTGTTAATGGTTTATGGGCTAGGTTGTAGAGTTGCTCTTTTTTGTTCGGGGTGGGAGGGGTTTCTGATATGAAGGACTGCGTTTGGGTCCCCAGAAATATCAGCATCGTCATGCTGTTCTTCGTTCTCGCATCAATCCCTCGAAGGCCCCATTCCTCAGAATTTTGGATTCCTACAGATGCTCGGAAAGCTCCAGCAGGAAAATCAAAGCCATCCTTGGAAGCTGATCCCAAAGGTTCTTAGTAGATATTTGAGCACCAAAATTTTGTCTAAATCTAAAACCCTAAACCCTTAACCATAAACCGTTACTGTTACTTGGACCGTTTGTGTTCCAGGAACGGTATGAACTGAATGCCCTACGCCAGGCAAAGGCAAAGGTGGTGCGAAGGGCAAGGCCGCGCATGTGCACTCCCTCCTGCTACAAAAGCCAGCAGCTAGCAGGATTTAGGGTTTAGGGTGTAGGGCGCCAAGAATGCTGTAAACCCCGTAGCCTGAGCCGTATACCCAATGTAGTTTTACAAGCCCTATGCGGCCCTAGGCAATATCTTATCTTGTCTGAGCCCTATCCTGAATGCTCATTAGCCTGGCGTTGCCCAGCCTGGCTCAGCTTAGCCTGGCTTAACCTAGCTTCGCCTACTTGGGGTTCGTGGGTAGGGAAGAGGAGGGTGACAAGTCCCCTAATATGGTGTATAACTATAGTTATCACACTTATAATCCCACTTCCTCCAAGTAGCCTGTCTTGTTTTGTAATTGTGCTATCATAGCCACCTTGTTCTTGATTTGCATTACATGTGTGACTCGTGTTACATCATGCTGTGCAAGGTTGCGCAGTGCTGCATTCTGTTCAGTCTAGTTCGCTCTGTTTCGGGCTTACAGTAGAAGCCCAAAAGTTGGAAACCCGATGGCCTCAATCCTTAAGTGGAATGTATAGGGGAATCCCAGCACTATTTGGCCTTAATCGGGTTTCCAACTTTATGGGGTTTACTGTAAACCCCGAAACCCTGAACCCTTGTGGCTAATTACACTTGTATGACGGCCTTAGAATGCCGGAGCCCTGGAAATCAAAGCCCTGAACGCTAAGCCCCTAAACCCTGAACCCCTAAACCCATAAACCACTAAACCCCTAAACCCTAAACTCAACCCCGCGAAGCTCAGCCCTCCTTGCCCTAGCGATTTAGGAGTCAAGGTTTAGGATTTGGGAGGATTTCGGGCTTGGGGTTGTGGGTTAAGGTTCCGGGGGTAGGATGTGCGGTTCAGGGTTGGGGGTGCTGAAATCCTGCTCCCAGAGTTTGATCTTTCGGCGCGGTTGATCCGGGCACCCGAAATCCTACACCTTGAAACCTAGAAGGTTTAGGCTGAAGAACTTTGTGAAAGTTGTAGCACTCGAGAAGTGGAAGTTGAGGTGTGTCGGATGTTGGAGATCTTGAGAATTCTGTGAACCTTGCTTCGGGGTCTCAATCAAAGCAAAGTTCCTACAATTCAGCGTTTGTATATATATATATATATACACACATATTTTAGGCTCTTGATTTCTTGAAACATGAGCTGATCAAGACGAAAACCCAAAAGCCTGAAACCCCAAACCCCGAGTCTCTTGGGATCTCGGTAGATTTGCCCCTTCGCTGCTGCGAGCTCATGTATTCCAAGCGCATTCGGCCTGCCATAACTGCTGGACGCCTTGAGCCCTTTAGGGTTTAGGGATTTAGGGTTCAGGGCTTAGGGTATCCCCGGCACAGGGTTCGTCAAAGCCGACCAGGGAAAATGCTCAGGATGAGTACGAACGGTTGGGCAAGCCCATGACGAGTTGCAACCTGGTGGAGCTCATCCAGGGATGAATTCGCTGGAAGGTGAGGTGATCTGAAAAGCGAAGATTGCGCGACAAAGGGCAGCAAAGAAAGGTTTCAAGGATGGCATCAACCGCTTCAACCGGGACAACGAGTATGCCATCTCCATGACGACAGAAGGGTATACCCGGAGGTCAATCCGGATCCTTGATTGCGTTGCGATGCGTATCTCCCCAATCCTGGGCGCAGCCGTTCGCAGAGAATGCTTGCAGAGCTCTCACGCAACCGCACGTTTAAGCTGCTGGTGCTCAGTGACTGAGCTGTGTCCATAACTGTATTCGGTGAAGGGCTTACTTAAACAATGACGGACAGTCGGATTGCTGCGTTCGTCATTCACACCGCTAATGCTGTTTCGGTTGAGTAACTCGTATCTGTAATGTTGGCGGGGCAAGTTGTGGGTCACTGGTCACATAGCACAAGACAAAACGTGCACGTGTGTGTGTGTGTGTGTGTGTGTGTGTGCGTGTGCGTGCGTGATACTGTTGATGATATAAATCCTGCATTACCCTCAGGAACCTAAACTATGGGAATTATTGTGATATGCCTTATTATGGGTAATGCAGGTTTTATATCCCTAAGCCCTAAAACCCTATAGATCCCTTAAAGGGAGCCCCTTAAGGGTACCCTTATAGATCCCTTTAAAGGAACCCCAGGGTTTATATCATCAGCCGTATATGTTTGCGTGTGTTGTCCAATGGGAGACAGATCCTCGGATTATAAGCCGGAGTTTGAAGTTAGGGGTTGGGCATTGCCCCCACTCAGTAACAGTTGGATAAGATTCATAAATATAGATATATTAGGACCTTAATAGTAGCCCTATTATAGACTGTTACTGTATGGGGGCAGTACCCAAGTTAGGGGTTCTACTTGAGGTTCCTACACCCCTAAACCCTTGAATGTAAACCCGGCTTGCTAGCTCGCAGCTCTGACGTTTGAAAGTATCACATCTGAGGAATTTACGGAGGGTTTTTGCATGTGGGATTTTAGCGGCGGTTAGGGTGGCCAAACCCTACATCCTAAACCCTTAAAAAACCCTAAAACCCAGAACCATATCTCCCTTAGGGTGTGGGATCTCATAGGAGGCCAAAAGGGGTTTTAGCCTATGGGGGTTTAGTAGGGATTAGGGTTCCCACAAGGGTATTCCTAATAAGGAATCCCTACCCCGAGAATCTTAAACCCCCCTTTTGACCTCCCATCAAGATCCCTTATAGGGTTCTTCTCAAGCAGGATCTCTTTTAGGGCCTAGGGCCTAGGGTTCCTCGCAGCGAGTGGCGCTCCGGACCAGGCGAAGGTGAAAGCCGCGGCGAAAAGGCTTTACCCAGGGACTTCGTGCTTGAAACCATGAAAGGAATCTCTTAAAAGAATCCCTTAAAGGAATCGCACCAAAACTACCTAAACCTAACGGTTTAGATGGGGTTTAGAGTAGGGCTAAACCTAACGGATTCGGGGTTGGGGTGTAGGGCAGGGCTGGGGGATGTAGTGTTTCGGGCTCAGGGTCTCCCTTTAACCTAAAGCCCTCACCGCCGCCAAAAGCCTGACCAGGGATCTTCACGAGTTAAGCGGTTTAAGGTTTAGGTTGTTCAGCTCGATGGCATAGGCTACAGCCACGTTAAGGCAATTTCAGGGCTTAGGATTGAGGGAAACGTTTTTCCCAGAACACGCTATGTATATGAGGAACAAATCGCGGCATTGTTGGGTTCGCTACTGCATCAAGGCGGGGACATGGTTCATAGCTCTGCGCGATTTAGGCAAGTTACAACGATGCAGCTTGTTATTATCGAGGAATTACGGTTGGTATGCACGTTTCAAAACGACTGACAAGGAGCCAATGTTTCACGACTACGAAACAGTATCCGCCACGGAAGGCCGAGAGAAGACTGTACGACTTGTAAACACTTTGAACTTCTGCCCGATCCGCTGATGTAAAGCCCGTTATGATAGCGATCGCCGTGTCTCTACAACCTACATCCAACCCTAAACCCGAGATGCCAAGGGCTTCATCTACAGGGTAACGAAGAATCAACAAGTTCTGCAGTTCGAACTACGGGTTCAGATGCCTGTATAGCATATTTGCCTTGAGTGAGATGGCCGTAGAATCAGGGTCCAAGCTATTTAGCTATACATACATACAGATATACACAAGTTCATTATGTTACATTACATTATATTGTGCTGTTTCACATATGTTTTGCGATACCATAGTATATGAATGGCATGTTGATACTATATTGTAGTATACCTTATTATTGTACTGTATAGTGCCATATTGAAGTTTTGCTATAGCACATTGTATTTTGTTACATATGATATTACATGTTAATTGTTGTACAATATGTGAACATGCATATGTATATGTGCATCATATACTCTTCATATATATATATATATATGAATATGTATGTTGCATAGACCCACTCCACTTCGGCAGGTCCGCCAAGGAGAGTTCCAGTAGCAGCAGCTCGAGCTCCGGCAGCGACAGCTGCAGCCCTAGGAAGCTGAAAGTTCATGGGTCCTATAAGGGATTTATAGGGTTCCCCTAAGGGGTCCTTTAAGGGATCTATGGGGATTCCTTTAGAGGGTCCTTTAAGGGACCTATGGGGTTTCCCTAGGAAACTGAAAGTTCAGGGTTCCCATTGATGGGTTTCTAGGCTAGGACCTAGAGTAGGCCCTTATTACATGTTTTTAGGGTTCTGGTTCTCTAATAGGCCCCTTTAAACCAAAAAGGGCACCCTCTTTATTCCCAGGTTACTCTTAGTCCTAGTAGGGGTTCCTTTAAGGGGTCCTTTAAGGGATCTATGGGGGCTCCTTTATGGGATCTATGGGGGTTCCGTTTACAGGGCTCCTTTTACGGGGGTTTGGGTGCATTGGGCTTGGGGGCTTTGAGTTCCAGCGATCAGGATTGGGCCCTGAAATTCTCGAGCCCTGAGTTTCAATTCCTAATGCACTTAAACCAGAAACCCTCAGCCCGTTTTGGGGTATAGGCTTTAATCAGAGTTGGACTTGGGATGCTTCGGGTTCAATGAAGGCATCTTTGGGATTCGGTGTGCCTTAAACCCTAAACCCTAAACCTTGGCCACCTAAAATCTTGGTGTCTCTGCTCAGGAGCTCTGATCTTGGAGAGACTGTACCACGGGAACCTTTCAACTGCACTATAGTAGAAGCCAGAAAGTTGGAACATGGCTTTAGAAGGATTCGTGCCAGGATCCCATTTTGATTTACCTTAAGGGCATAAGGAGAATGTTCCAACTTTCTGGCTTCTACTATAGTAGGTTACAGTCATGGAAGATGTAGCAAAGCAGGGACCGGCTTGGCGACTTCGGTTTGTCGGCTGACATGGGAGGGCATAGCTAGCGCAACGAACTCTGAGGCCTGAGCCCATTCTCGTCAAAGCCGTATCCGAAAAGGCAACGTTTCCTTTGAACCCATAGCCTCACAGACCTCACGGGTACCTTCAACCCTAAACCCCAGCCCCTAAACCCTTCAGTCACAGACCTACGCCCGGACCACAAAACCCGATAAACCGCCCTAATCTCTGAAACCCAGGTGACAGCTCCGACGGCGGAGAAGGTCTTTGTCTGTCGATTCAGTGTCTGAGAGGATTCACGGTTTCCGGTGGCAGCATATTAGTTCGGTCAGGATTTGCTTTGTCCTTGGGGTTTCGGATGTTGCGGTTGAGGGCAGGCGACACCATCATCATCGTCATCATTACCATCATCACCACCTTCGTCATCGTTCGAAGTATCATAAATGTTGAACGTGTTGTATTGTTGTTGTTCTTTGTATACATAGGTACATACATAGATACATGCATGCATACATACATAGATACATACATGCATGCGTATATATGCATATGTATATATGCGTATTCATACACGTGCATATCTGGGTATGTACGAACGTGCATACATCCATATATAATGTACATTGTATGCATGCGTATTCATGATTGATGAATGGGGAAGGCACGCATCCTTGTCCGGACAGTGCGATAGAGTTAAGTTCCGTACATGAGGGGTACTCATCATTTGTCTCTGTTGAGGGATCTTTTAAAGAGTGACGCGTTTTTTCGCCGCCCCCCTCAACACAAAGCAACTAGCCACCTTCCCAGGCTGTCACGTTGTTCTGCCTGAAACAATAATCTCGAGTTGAAGAGTCATAGATCCTCAAAACCTGAGCCCCGAAACACGATTCTAAACCCTAAACCCTACGGTTTAGGGTTTAGGGTTTAGGGTTTAGGGCCTATACCCTCAAAAACCTAAACCCCCGCCGGAGGTGAGGAGAAATCCAAGAAGGTGAAAGCCAACGACCAGGCGAAGAGGACGTGGCGGCCTGCAGTCCAGCGCCTTAGGGGGTTCCTTTAAGGGTCCCTTTAAAGGGATCTATAGGATCTATAGGGATTCTATAAGGGTTTAGGGCTGCAGGGATTGAAATTCTTAGGGCTTCAGGGCTTTAGAGTTTAAGGTTTAGTTCAAGGCTTTGGGTGCAGGGGTTTAGGGATGGTTTAGGGTTTAGGGCTTCAGGAGTTTTCAAGTTTAGGGCTTCAGGGTCTTAGGGTTCGGGCTTCAAGTTCGTTGGGCTTTAGGTTTAGGCTGGTTTAGAGATTTAGGGTTTAGAGTTTAGGGTTTAGGGCTTCGGGCTCAGGGGTATGGGGGATTTAGGGATCTGAGGACATGATGAGCAATGTCACAGGGGCTTACGGTTCTGACAAATCTTCAGCCTTCGGTGATCATGAGGATTCCAGCTCAATGGCGTCAGGGAGGCACACTTGCGAAATTGAGATTGGAGGGTACGGCCAGCTCTGTTCATGGATTTAAGGTTCCGCGGTCAGATTTTGGTTTGGGGGTTGTGGGTTTTAGGAATCAGTGTTGCTGAGCAAGCACTTGGCCATGTTTCGAGCCCAACGGGTCCAAGTATCATTATGGTATATACTTGGACCCCCCAAAATACCCTATAAGTATACACCAGAATGATACTTGGACCCTTTGGGGAGGATGCAGCTTCTCAAGAAGAAGCGCAAGGAGGCGCTGGGGGACGCTGCAGAAGACGAGGCTCTCGCGAGCTCACTTCTCAGCCAATGCCCCTCACTTGAACTTTTCAATCCATGAAGCCCCAACTTAAATCGAAGCAGGACTATGTATGTATGCATGTATGCATGTGTTATTACATAATGTAACCTAATGTAATGTGTTATAGCGTAATGGAATGTATGTATGTATGGATACATGCATGTATGTATGCATGCATGTCATCATGGGTATGCATGTGTGCATGCAGGTATGTATGTATGTATGTATGTATGTATGTATGTATGTATGTGCGCATGTGTGTATGCATGTACATATGTATGTATGTACGTATGTATGCATGCATGCATGCATGTGTGTATGTATGTATGCATGAATGCATGGATGCATGGATGCATGGATGCATGGATGCATGGATGCATGGATGCATGGATGGATGGATGGATGGATGGATGGATGGATGGATGTAAGGATGCGTGGATGCATGTCTGTATGAATGCATGCCTGCATGACTGAACACATGAATGAATGAACGAATGTATGTATGTATGGACGTATGTGTGCTGTAATATGTATACATACTCCTCCCCGATGCGGCTGAATCATCTGGTTGGAGACTTGCTTCAAATCCGTAAGGTTCGGCCCTGTCAGACAGACGAGCGATTGCTTTGCCCATTAGTTCAGAAATTTGGCATGAGGCGCAGGATTCCTTCAGGCTAGGCTTGACGTGATATGCTTGTATGGACTGGAGATAGAGGGAGAGAGAGATAGAGAGCCAGAGAGACAGGGAGAGAGACGGAGAGAGACAGAGTGAGACATAGAGAGACGGAGATAGACAAAGAGAGAGAGAGAGAGAGAGAGAGATTTCAGAGTCAACCTTTATCTATCCTACATCCTCAGGCTTCAGGGGGGTCAAGGCGTGTAGGGCTTTCTGGTTCTTCAGCATTAGGGTTTAGTGGGTTTACCTTTCTCCCGAACCTTAACTGTGGCTTACGGTATTGGAGCCTGATATAGCGGGAAAAGGAGCAGAGTAACAAATAAATAAATAAATAAATATAAATATATATATATATATATATATATATAACTTTGTGGCATTTACTGCAATCCCGTTCCGCAAGTTCAGCCTACAAACCGGTCCGTCTGTATCATTCCTCAGCACTGATGCCAGAACCTAAACAAGTTCGAACATTGCCTCACAATCCCGCAATGCTAGTATAGTACGGTTCGGCCCCCCAGCCGAATTCCCGTGCCCCGGATTTAATGTGTCATTGACCATCAGCGAGACCTTGACCAGTGCCAGGACGCGAATGAAGATCAAGAAGATGCCGCGTGCCTTTGTCCGCTTTGGGCCCTAGAGCGCTCGTTCCGGAGCCGTGGGTATGCTTCTTCCCTGTCAGGGTGCAGGGTGGGGTTTGGCAAGTGCGATTGATGGATGGTGCCACGGTTTAGGGTTAAGGGTTTGAGGTTTCAACAATTCAAAAGGTTTTTTGGGCACAGAGCCTCCTTTTTGAGTGCATGTGCGCATATGCACATGTGTGGAAGCCTGCCTCAATGAATACTTAAGCCATAGGGTGTTAAGTGCCTATATCGTGAAAAGTAGGTTTTCTAGAGGGGGAATTAGATTACTAAAAACTAACCCTGGACCTTAAACCTACACCTCGCATATAGGTACTTGGGACCCTTTGGGAAGGGTTATTGGGATCTCCGGTCAGCCAAGGAACAACGTGGTCAAGAAGCGGGACCGAACGACCAAGCAGCAGGCAGGCTTGACCCCAAAACCTAAACCTAAACCCTCAACCCTAAACCCTAAACCCTAAACCCTAAACCCCTAAACCCTGCACTTAAAAAAAAAAAAAACCCTAAACCCTAAACCCTCAACCCTTAAGCCCTTAAACCTGATCCCCCCCTCATCCCCTAAACCCCCGAACGCTGAACCCCTGCACCCTGAGCCCTAGCCGTTCCGACATCTGGGTCTTGAACTTACACCATAACATAGGGGCCTTAATCATTAAGTACAGGGCTCTTGTGCAAGTTCAAACGGACTAGGAGTTAGGATTTAGGTTTTAGTCTGAGCCTTAGTTTTAACGAGAACCCCAAGGAATAAATTGAACCCTAAAATGTTGATCGTGATGAGCTAGTCCTGCCGACTTGAAGTTGGATTAGAAAGTTTTAGTGAGAAGTTTTGAGCCTGCCAGTGGGACGCACAGATATACACCACTAATATGTATATATATATATATATATATATATATATACATATATATGCATATATATATATAGATATACATACATACATGTTCATGTGTATATATATATATATACACATCCATATAGAGACATATATGTGTGCATATACACAAGTACGCACGGACAGCACAAGTTCACTTCCCTGACCTGTCTACCTACGTACCTACACACATACATGCGTCGAAGCGTATTAATGCTCTGGCCAGGCCGTGTCCGACCTTCTTTGCAGATGGTGGTGCGCCACCGTCGAAGTCATCAGCTCAAACCTATGAGTAAGGACAGATCAAGTTTAGCATACGTTAATTAAACTCCAAACCCTTTGAACCCTAAACCTGAAACGTTACTTCCACAACCCAACCCTCAAACCTTGCACCCGTATTCAGCCTCGGAAGCTTCCATCTCAATCCCGCAAACCCCATGAGCAGACTAGTGACTAGATAGGCTGCAAGCCAAAAAACAGTCGCAGTCCTCAATGCTTAAAGCAATGACGCTCGGAGACGCGAGGATCCAGAAAATCGACATTTCTGTCTGGCTTAGGGCTTTCAGATCGTCGTGTTTACCTACCTTTCGTCAGTAGGGAATGGAAGAATGGTAGTAATAGTAGTTATACTTGTACCCCATTGCTCCATTCCCTACTAACCAAAGGTAAGCTTAGCTTGTAAGTGTCGGCAGGCGACTCGTGCCACCTTGTGCAGGCTTAACTTAGGGGTACTTAGAAATTATTTTTAATTTTTGGTGATTGTAATCCCTAAGAAAGAGCTAGAATTATTTTTTTTGCTAGGGTTCTAAGTTCAGTATAATTAAGTGCAGGTTCTCACGAGTCTCGGATCGTGCCTGTTAGGATTCGGGTTTAGTTCTAGGATCTGCCTGTTTGGATTCGGGTTTTGTTTTAGGATCGTCCAATCGTGGTTTGCTTTTGGTTTAGGTTTTCTTGGTTCCGGCGGACCTTCAGACGGGGTCACATTGGAGGTACGTGCTGCCAGATTGGCCTCCAAACGACAAGGACGCCTGCTTAGGAATTCATTCCGGAGTGCATGAGTTGAAATGTTTGCTAGAGTTGAGCCCAGTACACAGACCTCGAAATTAGGGGTGTCACTCGAAACCCCGAAGCACAGGTGTCGATTGTCGGACCGCAGGAACAACCCTGTTGAGGCACGTCCTAGACAATCAAGCCAGGTGCTTGATCATCCCGAAGAGAATGCCCTAACCCAGTGATGCTGTCGACGATGATAAGGAACCAGGCGCACCTTCTGTGCTGAGTATCATGAAATTGCGGCTACCGTTCCTGCTATTGCTGCCACTGCTGCCGCTGCTGCTGCTGCTGCTGCTGCTGCTGCTGCTGCTGGGTGACAGACGATGACGATGATGTTGCAGCTGCTGTTGTCGATCATGGTGATGCTGAAGTGAAGAAGAATAAACATGGGACTTTCCGACAATTAAGGGTACCGTTTTGGGGGGTCCTTACAATAAGGATCCATAATAAGGATCCTATTATTTAGGGGTACTATATTAGGGTCCCCTATTTTCGGAAGTCCCCACATCTAACTATAAGACGGTGAGCAGGGTCTGTTCTCATCGAGATTGCGTCTCCGGGTAACATCTCAATCACGGTCTACACGACATGAGAGGGCCTATGATTCCGTGCCATGTTCCTGAAGAGGGCCTGGGTATCGACGCGTACTATGCAATTAGGGTTGATTGACACATTCTCATGATGGTTGGAGGAGCAGTGGCAAGTGTCGCCGTCATCATCATCATCATAATCATGCTGACCATGTTTAGTATTATCGCCGAAACTGTCACCTTCATGTTGATCACAGAAGCATCCTCAGCATCATCGTCATCATCATCATCTTCGTCTTCACGACGGTGACTGGCAACATCACAGTTCTCACGCTCGACGCAATTAGCATGTGCTACCGGTTGATGGTATAAATCCTGCATTACCTTAGGGACCCTAAACTATGGAACTATGGTATATTCCTTATTATGGGTCATGCAGGATTTCTATCATCAACAGTACGTAGCAGTTATACTCAGTGCATGCAGAGCTGCTAAGAGCGCGAATGCAGGACTTCTATGCCCCGAGGCTGGAGGAGAGGAAGCTTCGACAGGCGGTTTAGGGTTTAGGGTTTAGGGGTTAGGGTTTAGGGGTTCCGACTTGATGCCTCCCTTCCAATGCCATGAATCCCTTTCAGGAGTCCTTTGAGGGCTCCTGTGAGGGTTCCTGGAAGGATTGTTGTAAGAGTTCCTATATGGAGTGTTTCGTCAAACTAGGCTAGCTACCTTATTCGGGGTCCTTTCCCAACGGATTCTACTAGGCAGAACTCTGCTTTAGAATCACTTCTTTTCCGAAGCTCCCAAATAGGCTTGGGGCTTGATTAGGTTAAGGGATTAGGGCTGGACGTCCTGACGAACCCTTGCTTGCAAACGGTGGATCGAAAATCACGGTTAGATGCCGATTTGGGATCATTTATGATCTACGTTGTTGCATAAACCAGAACCCTAACCATAAATACTGTTTGGGAATGCTGAAATCAGTGCACCGTATCACAGTTGTATTGCATACACCCAACCCGATCCTAATTATTACGGTTGATGATATAAACCCTGCATTACCTTAATGACCCTAAACTACGGGAATTATGGTAGATTCCTTATTATGGGCCATGCAGGATTTCTATCATCAACCGTATCTCCCGATATTGGCGCTACAAAGCCGGGCCTAGAGTCAAAGGCCCTCAACCTTAAACCTTAAACTGTAGACGCGCAGTCGGCTGAAGGTGACAATCCAAGAGTGGGAGTGGGTCGACGACAAGGAATGGCCCCGAAAACCATTCTGGGTTTGAGGGTTTGGGTATCCGGGTGTAGGGTTTAATTAGGGTTTGGGGTTTACTTGGAGGATCATGGGACTTAGTAACTAGGGTTAGAAGTACCCTAATTGGAGTCATAAGTCTAGTTACCTTATTTATAACCCCAGTTACTAAGTCCCATGATCCTCCAAGTAGGGGGGTTTAGAGGTTTAGTCGCCTCACAGAGGCAGAAAACAAGGGTTGGTGGGGCGGGGGGGGGGGGGGGGGGCAGGGTCCGGTTTAGGGTTTAGGGTTCAGGGTTTAGGGTGTAGGGTTTAGGTAGGGTGTTAGAGCGCGCTGGTAAGAGAGAGTGTGTTACGGCTTCGGCCTGTGAGGCAGACTTTCATCAATTCATCCCACTGCTGCAGCTGAGCCCGAACACTAAGCTCGACATATCAGGTGATTTCTGAAAGATGCACAGTGGAAATGTTCTTGAGGTCCCTAGGTTCCCTAGTATTTTGGCTCTAAGATTAGGGTTTAGCGCTCTTCAGTTTGTTGTTATCAGAGGGTAAGGTAAGTGTAAGCCCAAAGTGTTACTGCAGTTTCTGTGAAACAAAGGAACAAGGGTTGTTCGGATCATTCAGGGTTTCAGGGCTACCAATGCAAACGCAGACTTCACAGTATGGTAAATCCCATTGCACCTGCATAGCATGCTTTACGGTTCAGGGTCTAGGCACTAGGGTTTCCCAAAAGCATCGTAAAACCCTGGCCCTCGAACCCAAATCCTAAGCTAGCATTTCGGGTCAAATCGGTTGAGATGTTTTGGTTCTTAAGGACCTAGAGTAGGCCCTTATTCCCTTTTTTAGGGTTCAGGTTCCCTAATAAGCCCCTTTAAACCAAAAAGGGCACCCTTTTTATTCCTAGGTTACTCTTGGGTCTAGTTCTTAGACATGCTTAGAGGGCTCGGGGCCTGGGCAGATTTCCGGAGTTTCTGGTGGGTCGTGTATGCGCTCAGACAATCTTTCAGAAAGTGTTTGGGCCATCAACGAACTAAGAAAAACGGATATTGGGAAATGGACTTCGCCTTGTCCTTCTTTTTCGGGATTCAGGGTTGAACGCCCTCCTTAACCCCAAAACTTTAAACCAACAAGGCCTCAACCCGTAAACAATAAACTCCAGACCCTTGCCACTAGCACGCTCAAAGCCTAGCGAGTCCCTGCAGGACTCGAAAGGCTTTGCAAAGGTCTACCAGCTGTCACAGTTTGAGCCTCGAGCGGGTTTTGCGCCAGTTGATTTAGCAGCTCATGGCTTCAAGGATGAACTATAGGGGCCTCAATACTTACCTATACTATTTGGTGGTTCCTCATTATACATACAGTATAATTCATGGCCCCCAAACCCCATTCAAATTACTAAGGCCCCTATATTCACGTCCAGTAAGGCTTTTGGGTTTAGGGCTTTACGGATCAAGGTCTCTACTTGGAGGTTCATGGGTAGTTCTAAGTAGGGTTATGAGTGGGATGACTATTGTTAAAAACCCTATTAGGGGACTTAGAACCCTAAATGCCCCTTGTTTGGAACCATATACCCCTATTTGAGGGTACAAGGAGGGCCCTGGTGATTTCAAGTGATTTCTTTATAGTAAGTCGGTTCGTCGGGGTCGAGGTAAACCCTACCCTATAGCGTTTAGGGACCTTAATTGCTCAACTATCGGGCCGTAGGGGGCAAAAGCCTGTGACATGTGCATCAGCCCCTAAACCCTAAGCTTAACCCTAAACCAATAAACCCTAAACCGTAACCCCTAACCCTAAACCCTAAACCCTAAACCCTAAACCCTAAACCCTCGCAACAAGAAGAAAAGGCCGGTGAACTACCCGACCACACCGCCGTTACCATATGGCAATAAGCTTAGAATTGGTTCGCTCAATGTTCAGGGCTTCGCCGACACACTTAAGCTAAAGAATGCCATTCTCATCATGCAGGAGCACAAGATCGATGTACTGATGCTTTCAGAAACTAGGAGCACTTCCTATTACTCGTATCAGTCGGAAAAACATCTCGTAATCCTCTCGGGTAACAGCAAAGACAAATATGCAGGGGTTGGAGCCATCATTGCACCTCAGGTGCGACCACACCTCTTGGATGTAATGCAAGACTCTACTAGACTACTGCATTTGGTCTTTAAGCAGCGGGGTGGTAACGTACATGTCATCGGAGCCTATGCACCACACTCGGGTTTAGACTATGAGGACATCAGGGCCCCATTTTGGGATAACCTTGAAGAACGAATTTCCAAGATACCGCAGCCAGAACCGGTATATTTGGTAGGTGACTTCAATGTCAGGTTCCAGGCACAGCACAAAAATGATGAGGGCGTTACGGGACCATACACATACGGAAAGGGTTCTAGGTTCATTGACCACAACGCCCACTCGAATCGCTCTCTTTGCGTGCGTACCATGCAACTACTAGGTATGGTAGAGGCTGCCTCCTGGATCACACCTAGCCCCGTTCATCACATTACGTACAAGGACAAAACTGCACCTCCACCCGACTGGTCGCAGTTTGTTCTAGACCCCATCCCCATGCAACAACTTTACTCCCACTTTCACCACGAACTTAACACTGACCCCAATCTCCCCCTACAGGTTGCTACCATCGTGCGTTCATTCCTAGAGCTACCAGACTTGCTCCCACCCCCAAAGACCACACCGCAGGTAGATCCAGTCAGATTTCAGCGGTTGGACCACCTCTTTGTGCGTAAGCAATGGCTAAACACAGTACATCAGTGCAGGTCTAGACTTCACGCGGGTTTCCCCTCAGACCACTACCCGGTCATTTCGGATGTACAGATTCGTCTAGCAGCCAAGGAAAACAAGCCACCACGACCACCCAGATTGGATCTCTCCAAACAAACCGAAGACCTCAAAACGGAATTCAATTCCATTTTTAGAGAGCTCATTCTGGAAGAAGCGGAGACCACGCAGCCGCCTTCCCCTACCCCTAATAAAACAGACCACTACTACACAGATGGTTCAGGTACAGCTGGGCGCTGCACCAAACACACCGCAGCCGGATGGGGTTGGACTCGCCGCACAGCAGACGGATGGGAGGATGCGTTCGGACCGGTAACCACCGATCCTGACCACACCGCATTTAGGGGGGCATTGGTAGGATCTAACAACACAGGAGAACTTACAGCCATTATTGAAGCGCTGCTTCACGCTCACCAACAAAATACAACCCAAGTCCACATCCACACAGACAGTTTATGGGCGAAAAACGTTATCACAGGCAAATGGAGAGCACAGCGCAACAAGGACCTAGTGAATTTCGCCAAGCAACTCACGAAGCTCAAGCCGCTACGCGTTCAGTTTCATTGGATCAAGGCGCATAAGGGCCACGAGGGCAACGAACGCGCGGACAAACTTGCCAACCAAGGGAAGCGATCACGCAACCGCACGGGCACTTCTGCACAAATCCCAGATCACGCAACGGCCACACCGCCAATACACGAGGACCGTTTCACGGACAACTTGAAGGAAGCCGCCAAGCAAACGTTCAACCCCGCCACTCGCAGACAACGCAAGCCATGGATTTCCGATCACACCCTCAACCTCCTACAGGTGGCTAGGCAGGCAGAAGCACAAGGGGACCACACCGCAAAGCAAAAGCGCAACCAGGCTAAAAGATCAGCCCGCAAAGACAGCGTCAAATGGGTGCACGACCAGCTCCTGGAGGATCCCCTTGCAGAAAACAGCTCGGTCTGGAAGGCAGCGAAACGCCAAAAGGCCGGATTCCGGGGTAAAAAATCACACCTCATAATCAAAGGAAAACCGATACCATGGAGCCAAACTCATGAAGCGTTCCGCGACCACCTTCAAAACCAGCAATGGGCGACGCACCAGGAAGCGGACGCCAGACTATCGCAGCTCCAAAACAAAAGGCAAATCAACCCGCCGGCCGCAGACGAAACACCATTTACACTCACAGAGCTACAGGACGCACTCCGCAAAATGCGACCAGGAAAAGCGCCAGGTCCCGACCAAACCGCCAACGAGCTTTTCCGTCTACTAGATGATGACAACATACAACTTCTGTTAGATTTCTACAACAAAATATGGGAGGTAGAAGAAATACCGGACGAATGGACAGAAGCAATAGTAGTTTCAATCTATAAAGGAAAGGGTGCAGACACGGACCCCGCCAATTACCGACCGATCTCGCTGCTTAATGGCATATATAAGCTCTTTGCAGCCATGCTCCAAGCAAGACTTTCCACACAACACGAAGAGCGACTGCGCACTACACAGTTTGGATTTCGGCCACACCGCGGGACCACGCAGCCCCTTTTTATTCTTAGAAGATCCATGGAGTGGTCCGAAATGACCAATAACCCGCTGTACTATCTTTTCTTGGATTGGAAACAGGCTTTCGATTCCCTCGACCACAACGCCATGCTAGTCGCCCTCCGTAGGTTTGGGCTCTCTAGAAAGTCTTTAGAAGTCATCTCCTCAATCTACAAAGACCCCACATTCTTCACCAAAGGCCCTGACGACCACACCGCAAAGGGCTCGGTAGGATCAGGCATCAGGCAAGGTTGCCCCTTAAGCCCCTACCTGTTCATCATAGTTCTTACGGTTGTGTTAGAGGATGTAGATTGGGACTTGGCCTCACAAGGCATTGCCCGTAATACGTGGTCAGTCTCCCGTCCCACCTCCGACATAGAATATGCGGATGATACGCTTCTAATAGCCAGGACCACAACGCAGCTCCTAGCCATCCTACATTCTCTTGAAAGTAACGCACTGCTCTATGGTATGAAACTCAACACAGGAAAAACCGAACTCCTGATTGACCCGCGACACCCAGTGCCAAAGCTAGAGTTTCTGAATGGGGAGATCATTCCGACCACACCGCAAGTCAAGTACCTAGGTACTATGATCACCTGGGAGAAACCCTTTGAGGCTGCCTTCAAACACAGAGCAGCGCTAGCAGAAACCACCTACAAAAAACTAAGACTGGTCTGGAATAGCTCTTTACCTAGAAAGACTAAACTACGGATATTCCAATCGGTCTTCATTTCCACTCTTATATATGGCCTGGACACCCTCACCCTTACAGACAAGCAAATCGCAAGAGTAGATGCATATTATTTGCGGTTCTTACGCAGAATTGTCAATATCAAGGCGTCTTATTACTCCAGAGTCACTAACCAAGAGGTCTGGCGCATAGCAAACCACCCGAGAAAACCTTCCTCCTTTATCCACAACGCCCAACATAAACTTCTAGTTGCGCTCTTCCAAGCCCCAATAGAAGATCCCTGCCATAATGTAGTATTCGCTGCAGCATACAAAGATCGAATCATAGTCACAGGACGCAGAATAGGTATGAAAATGCCGTATTGGATAGAGACCACTACGCAAAGACATTACCCGAACCATTGGCGAACCAACCCTGGTAAAGGAATCCTAGGACCACACGTAGTGTATGCGACCATAAATCGAGACCTGAAGAGTTCCTTTGAGCGAGCGCCGAAGCGCGCTGACGAAAAGCGCGCAGGGCACTAGCAAAAAAAAACCCTAAACCCTAAACCCCTAAACCCTAAACCCTAAACCCTAAACGCCTAAACCCAGAACCCTTAACCCCGGGCTTTCGGAGCTGTTCTGCGACAACGAAAAGGAGCTTTCAAAAACAAAAACCTAAGCGCTCTATGCCTGAACCCTAAACCCGTAAACCCTAAACCCCGAAAAAAAAACCCTAAACACCTAAACTAAGCGAGGGGCCGAAATCGTCGAACGACAGGCCCCGAGCGCTCTGGCCGAGGGCCTAACAGCCCGAGCGCCCCTACGAAAAGAGCGGGACGCGGAGAGGGGAGGGTAAAGCCTCCCCGGTCTGACCTGCACAGGTCAACGGTGTAAAGCCCATGGCAAACCCCAACGGGAAGTCTTCGAAACGAGGGACCGCCGTATCGGGACCACCTCTAGCGTAGCTATATAATAACCCCAAACCGTGGGCCATTTGCTCTGGTCGGGGCCTCCTTTGGGGCATTTAGTCGCGCTTGTCCTTTTCGGAAAAGGACAACCAGCTCTAAATCCTAGATTTTCAACATTTAGTCGCGCTTGTCCTTTTCGGAAAAGGACAACCAGCTTTAAATCCTAGATTTTCAACATTTAGTCGTGCTTGTCCTTTTCGGAAAAGGACAACCAGCTCTAAAACTTAGATTTAGGATTTAGGATTTAAGGGTTTAGGATTTAGGATTTAGGATTTAGGATTTAGGGTTTAGGATTTAGGATTTAGGATTTAGGATTTAGCCTCCGGAAATTTGGATTTTTGCTGGTGATTTTCAAGTGACAAATTCTGTTCATAAAATGTGCTTTTTAGAGAAGGCCGGTTGCGAATCTCGAGGTCCCCTCCTTTCTTTTCGTGTGGCTCCTCTTAAGCTTCCGGATTTCAATATTTAGTCGCGCTTGTCCTTTTCCGAAAAGGACAACCAGCTCTAAAATCTAGATTTAGGATTTAGGATTTAGGATTTAGGGTTTAGGATTTAGGATTTAGTGTTTAGGATTTAGGATTTAGGATTTAGGATTTAGGGTTTAGGATTTAGGATTTAGGATTTAGCCTCCGGAAATTTGGATTTTTGCTGGTGATTTTCAAGTGACAAATTCTGTTCATAAAATGTGCCTTTTAGAGAAGGCCGGTTGCGAATCTCGAGGTCCCCTCCTTTCTTTTCGTGTGGCTGCTCTTAAGCTTCCGGATTTCAATATTTAGTCGCGCTTGTCCTTTTCGGAAAAGGACAACCAGCTCTAAAATCTAGATTTAAGATTTAGGATTTAGGGTTCAGGGTTTAGGATTTAGGATTTTAGGATTTAGGATTTGGTGTTTAGGATTTAGGATTTAGGGTTTATTTAGGATTTAGGATTTAGGATTTAGGATTTAGGGTTTAGGATTTAGGATTTAAGGGTTTAGGATTTAGGATTTAGGATTTAGGATTTAGGGTTTAGGATTTAGGATTTAGGATTTAGGATTTAGGGTTAGGATAGGATTTAGATTTTAGGATTTAGGGTTTAGGATTTAGGATTTAGGATTTAGCCTCCGGAAATTTGGATTTTTGCTGGTGATTTTCAAGTGACAAATTCTGTTCATAAAATGTGCCTTTTAGAGAAGGCCGGTTGCGAATCTCGAGGTCCCCTCCTTTCTTTTCGTGTGGCTGCTCTTAAGCTTCCGGATTTCAATATTTAGTCGCGCTTGTCCTTTTCGGAAAAGGACAACCAGCTCTAAAATCTAGATTTAGGATTTAAGATTTAGGATTTAGGGTTCAGGGTTTAGGATTTAGGATTTTAGGATTTAGGATTTGGTGTTTAGGATTTAGGATTTGGTGTTTAGGATTTAGGATGTGGGGTTTAGGATTTAGGATCCAAGATTTAAGATTTAGGATCTAGGAACCAGCTCTAAAATCTAGATTTTCCAAAGCTGTCAAACGATAAGGTTAAAGGGCCGAGCCGGCCCTGCCATGCCGAAGGCCCGAAAAGGGCCGAGGCTACTCCCAGCCGTTGCCTAGGCCACAACTTAAACAACTGGAACCTTATGGGTGCAAAAATAGGGATTTCTTGGATTTTTGGTTTCCAAAGCTGTCAAACGATAAGGTTAAAGGGCCGAGCCGGCCCTGCCATGCCGAAGGCCCGAAAAGGGCCGAGGCTACTCCCAGCCGTTGCCTAGGCCACAACTTCATCAACTGGAACGTTCATGGGTGCAAAAATATAAAAGTCCCCCTTGATAGGGGGGTTGGGGGGTAGAAACCCTAAACCCTAATAGAGTATAGTTTGGGTGGCCGGGGTGGGTTTACAAGCAACGCGAGCGCGCGGCCCGGGGTGTTTCACACCCGAGCGCGCGACTTCGCCTGCCACACCCTAAACCCTAAACCCTAAGCCAGAAAAGCCTCCGGGAGCTTCGGAGTTGTGGCTGCAAGGGGATTTTTTGGTTGCTGTTTGCTCGGGCCTCTAGGGGTTTCGGGTTTGGGGTTTAGGGTTTAGGGTTTAGGGATTATAGGGTTTACGGCTTATTCTGTTTATTCGGACTTCTAGAGCAAGGGATTTTGTTCATTTATTCGGGCTTGGGGGTTTAGAATCTGAGTTTTAGGCTGCAGTGGGTGGTTGGTTCCCGTCGCTGCGATTATGCCAGACTTGGCGGCCCTGAGAGGTGCACTTGTGTTAGTATCGGGGTGGAGGGGTGTAGGGGTTTAGGGTTTAGGGTTGAGGGTGTACCCGTAGTGTCAAACGGTGGTTACACATACCAAAATCTCGAATATGCGCCCTGCTTCGCATGCCACCCAAAGAGGTGTTTCAGAGTTCCAGATCCTATTTTTTGGAGCATTTTTCCTCTGACACTATCTTGTTTCGCGCGACCCTAAAGCCTACAATCTAAATCCGAGACCCGAAAATTTGAGGCAAAGTCTGGACGACAAGGTTGCTCCATTCCAGCCTTCAAGCCCAGAGACTCCAGAACTCCTGTATTAAGGAATCTAAGCTTAAGTCATTCTCGGGAGACTATCTTAATTTGAGGTATATTTCTTAATTAAGGGTTTTTGGAGTTTCTGGGTGTCAGGAGTCCTCCTTCACGATGTAAACTTACCGAAGGCGCACTTTCCACGTTGCTTAAACTTCGTAAACCCGTCTTCTTCAATCCTTACTTCCTTTCCCGGAAACCCTGCGAAACCTTCCTCCGTGTTACTTAAGACTTAAGTGCTGCAGCGGAATTAAAAAAATGCAGCTCAACCGCAAAACCCCCTAAGGCCTTGAAACACACAACAAATTTCAGCGTCGAGGTTCCCTGGCGTCTTCCGCGACTCTCACGGTCAGATGATCGACCTAAGACCACAGGCGGAGCTTGCCTTGGTGGGTGGTTCTCTACATAGGGTCGCTGTTTGGGTCTCCACAATAGCACGGCCCCCTGATGGAAAGCACCCTTTGGAGAAGTACCCAGGTTGGTGCAGGAGTTTAAGAGGGTTAATGTCGGCTAAACCCTAAAACCTAAACTTAGGCCCTAAACTCATAAACCCTACACCTTTGGTTATGTCAGATCCGGATCTAGTCAGGCCGCGACCGCGAGTTGTCGTGGTCTTTCAGGAATCCATGCCGTATGGCGAAGTAAAGTTAGCATGGCAGAACACGAGACCGGTGTTGTACCCAGGGACTACATAGTTCCCCCAAGCCCGGTCCTGCGCAGGAAGACTGCCCATGCTACGCGAACTTCATGAAGAAGGATGTGCTGTATTGCTGCGTGATTTCCTAGCTCCTGTCTCTGTGTCCAGCGATTGAGGTGGAACCGCGAGTGCAGTGTAGCTTGCGCAGTTGGTATGATTCGGACAAGATCTGCAGGAATGCGAAAGATCTACCGTAGAGTTAGCTGATTGCACGCTCAGGGCTCAATCAGGAGTTGCTGGGCTGGGTTCTGATTGAGGAGCTTAGCGTCCCCCTCCACCGAAAGGAACGTGTGGTTTCTGACAATATGTGTACGCATTACACATACATACATAGATAGATAGAGAGAGAGAGAGAGAGAGAGAGAGAGAGAGAGAAAAAAACAGTGCATTATATATAAATTAACATATATATATATGTTTATGTATATTTATATTTATGGGGTCCACTGTTTTTTTTTCCTAGGTCTGGCCTGGTCTGGGGGGCCTTGCTAGGTCTGGTCCCATGGTCCCTTGGTCCCCTGGGCCTTTGGTCCTCTGGTCCTGGTCCTTTGGTCCTCCGGTCCCCTGGTCCCTGGTCCGCTGGTTCCCTGGTCTCTCCTGGTCCTGTACCCCTAAACCCTCAAACCGCCAAGACTTGAGAAGGCCTTCCCAGAGGCGCCACACGAAAGTATACATGTCTTTCGAGTTCGACGGTCCCTTGCACATCTTCCACGTGTACCTGCCCCCAGGAGGTCCGACCGCGCGAAGCTTTGGACTGAACCGAGCGGAACCCAAGCGTGCAATCACAGCAGGAAAATGCCCCTGCTCTGTCATGTCCACCTCTGTGTGGGAGTCTATATCTTGCCAGTCCTCTCTGCTTTTGAAACAACGCAATCACAGGTCAGGAACAGTACCACTACCACTCGTGGCTACTACTAGTTCTCCTCCTCTTCCTTATCCTCCTCCTCCTCCAACTCCTCCTGCTGCTGCTGCGACTCAGCAAACCGAATCGGCTCAACAAGGCCAGCTGAAACCATGCTCAGAGCTCTTGCGAATTCACGAATTCCCACGCCCGCAGCTGTTAGCAAGCCACGCAAGCTTACCCACCAAGTATGTTCCCAAGACCATGGTGTGCAAACAATGCGACAGCTTAGCTTTAATAGCTTTGATGAGTTTCGTCCGCATGCCAGCAAATTCAAGGATGCTGCAAGGGTGCTGCGTGCAAGAGAGAACAGTGTTGTTTTGCTGTCACGCGGGTAACTATTATAGTTGCTGTGATATCTTATAAGGTTAATTTTGTTCCCCAACCCCCAGAAGCCAGTCCCAGGACCATTTTGAAGTAGTCCTTGTTTCTTCAGCTTTCATGCAGTCTTGATTTTGCCGGCGCAAGCGCAGCTCCCTCCGGCACTTCTGCGCTGCGGCGAAGCGCCTCCGCGCCGCGACTTACAGCAGGCACCGCCACACCATAACTTGAACTCAACACACTTAAGCTAGGACCTTAGGAGCTAAGCTTTCCACCGGGTTGCAAGTTGTAGCAGTTTCCTTCCGGAGTCGCAACTTTAGGATTGCCACGCTTCAGGCTTTCCGCGTAGAAAGGAGTTCACGGTTTAGGGATCAAAGCGATTGCGGATGTTGATCGATGCCAAACGGCCAAACGGCACAGGATTTCTGTCGTTTTCGGGCCAAGGTTGAATCCTTGCTGCCGTGCCCCTAACAGTGCCGAATCAACAACATCCTAGGAACCTGCTAGCAGCGTTGGAGGACAACATATCAGTGATTGGATGTTGAAAAGCCAAGGTTGACGTCCTGGAGCCCCGGCAAACCGACACCCGAAACTTCACCCCAGCAAACCTTAAATGTTAATTTTTCGATTCGCTGCACAAGTAGAACTCAGCATTCCAGGGCTTCGCCATCATCACAGGACCTTTTCCATCCAGGTCCCGGGCAGTCAACAAGGCAAGTAGTTCGAGAACTTTTGATCTGCTGTGTTGAGGCATGTGAGCACTTAGGGGGTGGGCTTCCTTGTTTTCGTGCAGCTGGGTTACAGCAACAAGCACGGATCCAATTCTTGAAGCAGCCGCTTGCTCTCATGTATCTTGCCCAAAGAACTTCAACCTTAACACTAAGCCGTATGCTTATGGAGTCCCGTACCCAGCTCTTCGGCTTGAACCCTATGTCTCAATAGAGACTGCCGGATTCCAAACTTTCCACTCCACTCTACAGAGCAGGTGCCAGAGGGTGCTGCGGGCAGCAGCATCCAAATGCCCCACCCCAGCGCCAGAGGCGACCTGCGCCGCAGTCGTACAGCAATAACGTTGCGGGCGTGAAGCGGGTAGAGGGTAGGGACGGGGAGATTTGTTGCAGAGCATTGCTTTTGGGATTCTGGCCACTGTTGGTTGGACACTTGCGCAAAGATGCCTGTAGTTATTGACATAAGCTCCCAAAAGGAAGACTTTGGGATGTTGTTCTTGGGTCCTAGACTTGAGAGCACGGGTTCAGGTTCAGAGTTCACCGTTCGTGTTCAGCCTAAACCCCTGAACCCTAAACCGTAAGTTGCTGGCACTCGTCTCACTGCCCGCGATTTCGAGGCAATCGCGTCGTTTGCCAAGCCATGTCGGACCCGAAACATTTCAGATGTTCAGCATCTAACTTGGGCATTTCCGTGTTGGTGTGTGCAGTACTTCAATCCTTCTAACCCTTATCTCCTTCCAGACCCCGGAATCCTAAACCCCCCTTGAAGCGTAAAACCCAAAGCCTTGAACACGACAGCCCCGGCCCAAGGTGATCTTATCCGCAATGCCGACGGCAAGCCCATGGATTTGGGTCCAACCAGCCACAACCACAACCACCGCGACAACCACAACAACAACAACAGCAACAACAAGAACACCAGCAACAGCAACAACAACAACAAGAACAACTGACACGACGGCAACGACGAGGACGAGGACGAGGACGACGACGACGATGACCTAGATGTCGACAACGACACCAAAAAACAACGCCAGAAGACAGAAGATTTGAAATTGGCATTTCGCACTATTCACACGCGAAACACGACCCTGCAAATTGTAGTGCTCCAATACCTTCATGCAATACACAAGCAAAACCAGACCCTGCGAATGCTAGTTCCCCATTAGCTTGATGAAAAACACAAACAATAAAAGACTCTGCAAATTGTAGTTCCCCAATAGCTTGATGCAAAACACAAACAAGGCCGACCCCGCAAATTGTAGTTCCCCCATTAGCTTGATGCAAAACACAAGCACAAGAACACACCGCAAATTGTAGTTCCCTAGTGGCTTCATGCAAAAGACAAGCAGATGAACACACCGCAAATTCTAGTTCCCTAATAGCTTCAAGCAGAACGCAAGCAGAAGAAGACCCTGCGAATTGTAGTTCCTCAATAGCTTGATGCAAAACACAAGCAACACCGATCCCTGCAAATGCGAACCCCCCAATAGCTTCATGCAAAACACAAAGAAAACCGAACCCTACAGCAACAACAAGAACACCAGCAACAGCAACAACAACAACAACTACCACGACGGCAACGACGAGGACGAGGACGACGACGACGATGACCTAGATGTCGACAACGACACCAAAAAACAACGCCAGAAGACAGAAGATTTGAAATTGGCATTTCGCACTATTCACACGCGAAACACGACCCTGCAAATTGTAGTGCTCCAATACCTTCATGCAATACACAAGCAAAACCAGACCCTGCGAATGCTAGTTCCCCATTAGCTTGATGAAAAACACAAACAATAAAAGACTCTGCAAATTGTAGTTCCCCAATAGCTTGATGCAAAACACAAACAAGGCCGACCCCGCAAATTGTAGTTCCCCCATTAGCTTGATGCAAAACACAAGCACAAGAACACACCGCAAATTGTAGTTCCCTAGTGGCTTCATGCAAAAGACAAGCAGATGAACACACCGCAAATTCTAGTTCCCTAATAGCTTCAAGCAGAACACAAGCAGAAGAAGACCCTGCGAATTGTAGTTCCCCAATAGCTTGATGCAAAACACAAGCAACACCGATCCCTGCAAATGCGAACCCCCCAATAGCTTCATGCAAAACACAAAGAAAACCGAACCCTGCAACTTGTGGTTCCCCAACAGCTTCATGCTAAACACAAGCAAAATCAGACTCCGCAAGTTGTAGTTCCCCAATAGCTTCATGCAAAACAGAAGCAAAACCAGAGCCGTCGAATTCTAGTTCCCCAATAGCTTGATGCAGCAAAGACCGCAGTTGCCGCTGTTGGCAACCACAACCAGTGGGCCAGACTTAGGAAAGCAGGCCGGGGAGGGCCAGACCTAGGAAAAAAGAAACCGCTCCGCCATATTTATGTATATATATATATATATGCACATGTATGTAAGGACATATACGTATATCTATCGATCTATCTGTCTATTTACCGGTCTATGTATTTATCTATCTATTTGTCGACCTATGTGTTTGTCTATCTATTCGTCTATCTGTCTTTGTTGTGTGTGTGTTTGTGTGTTGATCGAGCATCTCAAACTCACTCAATTCCACTTCCTCGTTTAAGCTATAGTAGTTATGTAGGTTAGGAGTTCGGAGAGTATATGATTATTGGGTACTTGGACTCGAACCTTCGACCTAAATCATAAACCCTAACCCCCCTAAACATCTAACCTTAAACCCGAAACCCTAAACCGCAAGCCCCAAATCCTAAATCCTAAGCCCCCTGAACCTCTAACCTTAAACCCGAAGCCCTAAACCGCAAGCCCCAAATCCTAAATCCTAAGCCCCCTGAACCTCTAACCTTAAACCCGAAACCCTAAACCCCAAACCCCGAATCCTAAACCTTAAATTCACTGAACCTCTAACCTTAAGCAAGAAACAAACCCCAAACCCCAAATCCTAAACCCTAATCCCCCTAACCCTCTAACCTTAAACCCGAAACCCTAAACCCCCTAAACCTGTAACCTTAAGCCCGAAACCCTAAAAACCCTAAACCTCTAACCTCAAACCCAAAACCCTAAACCCACTGAACCTCTAACCTTAAACTCGAAAGAAACTCTAAACCCTAAACCCCAAACCCCAAATCCTAAACCCTAAACCCCCTAAACCTCTAACGTTAAATCCTAAACCCGCTAAACCTCTAACCTCAAACCCGAAACCCTAAACCCACTGAACCTCTAAGCTTAAACTCGAAAGAAACTCTAAACCCCAAACCCCAAATCCTAAACCCTAAACCCCCTAAACCTCTAACCTTAAATCCTAAACCCGCTAAACCTCTAACCTCAAACCCGAAACCCTAAACCCACTGAACCTCTAACCTTTAACTCGAAAGAAACTCTAAACCCTAAACCCCAAACCCCAAATCCTAAACCCTAAACCCCCTAAACCTCTAACCTTCAATCCTAAACCCCCTAAACCTCTAACCTCAAACCCGAAACCCTAAACCCTCTGAACCTCTAACCTTAAATCCGAAAGAAACTTCTAAAACCCCAAATCCTAAACTCTAAACCTTCAATCCTAAACCCCCTAAACCTCTAACGTTAAATCCTAAACCCGCTAAACCTCTAACCTCAAACCCGAAACCCTAAACTCACTGAACCTCTAAGCTTAAACTCGAAAGAAACTCTAAACCCCAAACCCCAAATCCTAAACCCTAAACCCCCTAAACCTCTAACCTTAAATCCTAAACCCGCTAAACCTCTAACCTCAAACCCGAAACCCTAAACCCACTGAGCCTCTAACCTTTAACTCGAAAGAAACTCTAAACCCTAAACCCCAAACCCCAAATCCTAAACCCTAAACCCCCTAAACCTCTAACCTTCAATCCTAAACCCCCTAAACCTCTAACCTCAAACCCGAAACCCTAAACCCTCTGAACCTCTAACCTTAAACTCGAAAGAAACTTCTAAAACCCCAAATCCTAAACTCTAAACCTTCAATCCTAAACCCCCTAAACCTCTAGCCTCAAACCCGAAACCCTAAACCCTAAACCCCCTAAACCTCTAACCTTCAATCCTAAACCCCCTAACCTCAAACCCGAAACCTTAAACCCACTGAACCTCTAACCTTAAACTCGAAAGAAACTCTAAAACCCCAAATCCTAAACCCTAAACCTTCAATCCTAAACCCCCTAAACCTCTAGCCTCAAACCCGAAACCCTAAACCCTAAACCCCAAACCCCAAATTCAAATCCTAAACCCTAAACCCCCTAAACCTCTAACCTTAAATCCTAAACCCGCTAAACCTCTAACCTCAAACCCGAAACCCCCTAAACCTCTAACGTCAAACCCGAAACCCTAAAGACCCTTGCCCTAAGGCTCAAAATGGCCCAAAAGCCTTATATAATATGGTCTTTAAGCCCAAAAGCCTTAAGATATGAGTCCTTAGAGCCTTAGGGTTGGGGTCTACGCCTCGCCTTGAGGACCTTAGCGAGCTCTACGACCTCCTTGCGAAGGCGTACGCGCGCGGGTCCAAGCGAAATCTGGGAGTTTGGGAGTTTGGTAGGGATTTAAGGGTTTAGGGTTTAAAAAGCAAGGGTTGAGGGTTAGGGGTTTTAGGGTTAGGGGTTAAGGGTTTGTAGGGGTTGAAGGGTTTAGGGTTTAGGGTTTTAGGTTCTAGGGAGTGTTTTAGAGTTTCGGGGTTTAAGGTTTTAGGGTTTCGGGTTAGGGGTTTGAGGGTTTAGGATTGGGGTTTAGGGGTTTAGGGCTTACATGGGTTTGGCCTTCGGTGCTTAGAGGGATTGGGCTTAGGCTAGGTCCTAGGTGTTTGGCGTTCAGGGTTTTGTAAGGGTTTTGGGGTTCGGGTCAGGTTGAAGGGTATAAGGGATCCAGTGGAGTGAGCTTTCGGGGTTTGGGGGTTGAGGGTTCAGCGAAAGTTAGAGCCCGGGTTTATAGGGTTTAGGGTTGAAAGTTCCATCCATTCCCCCATTCCCTGCCGAGAACCGGTGGATGTAGAGCCAGATGGGCCAGGGTGTGGTTTGTGAGGCCTTGGGGCCATTGACTTGAGGTTGTTCTTTGCAGGAGCTTGTGTATCTGTTCTTCGCGGGATTCGGGACGAATATCCGACGGAAGCCAAACGACATGGAATCCCCAACGGTCAACATATTACTGGTCGATTGCTCGGAATATAGTGTTTGAATCCAACACAAACACTGAAGGCTTCAAGGAGGTAGTCCGTCGCTTCGCAATGCAATGGTATCCGCTGCGAATTCCGATGTGGTGCTTGAGGTGTGGGATCGTCATGCTGTTGTCTTGAGCCACCAAGACCCGGTGTTGAGGACTGTTTTTAGGAAAGGCTTCTTGGCTACTCAGCGAACCTTGCTGTAGTCGGTGCCTTTATTGCCGCATCATCCAGTGTGATGTGGAGGGTATCGTGGACACGTATTCCGTGTGGACAGCACTCTCCTGCAAACTGCGCAAACACGGCCTGAAGCTTGCCTAAAGCCCAAGACGGGGAACACATGGGTAGTTATCAAAATAAGCGTCCCCTTTTGAACACCCTAAATATTAGGTGCTGTATCATATTAGGGACACAATAAAGGGAACCATAATTTTGACAACCACCCACATGTGAGACTCCAAGGGTAAAAGGAGGGACCCTTAATAAGGACCCCTAGGTATATACCCTTAATGTAGCTACTATATACCCATTATATAGCCCAGAATAGGGTAGGGGTCCACATTAAGGGTCCCTCCTTTTCCCCTTTGTGAGACCCCGGTTTGAGACAGAGATCTGCTCCCTGAGCCCAGGGCCCAGTTGCAAGAACTGGAGACCTCCAGATACAATGAAGACAAGCTGAAGAAGGCTCGGACTTCAGGAAATGTTCGTAATATGGGGGGCCTTAAGAATAATTGCCTATACTATTTTGGGGTTCCTTATTATAACTATAGTACAATGGGCCCCAAAACCCTATTCTAAATGTTAAGTCCCCTGTATTAGGTTTATAGAGGGATGGTATCTCCGTAGATACCTATACATAGATAGTCTATGTTTATCCTGTAATATAGCCCAAAGCCTACTCCAGCTGCTAGTGCAAAATGATTCGTGTGTCGTCGGCCGCAGAGTCGTTATGCCATGATGCTTCAAGGCAGAAAGGTTGAGAGTGTATGCAACACGTTAACATACCTTAACCCCAAATGACATGCCTGTTTAAGGACTTATGTACAGAAATCTCAACCAGGAACCCTAAAAGGGTAGGTTTAGGTGTGGTTAAGGTACAGGGTCAGGACTTTGTTTCACTGTGTCTTCTCAGGAAGCCGTGTCTACTTTGCGGCTCATCAAATCTTCTGTATCCGATAAACAACAAAGGACACATTGTATTATACTTCGATGGTGAGAAGGCAGAGAATACAGAGGGTTTGGGGTTGCTGGTGTGGCCAAATGCCCTGCAGGTAAGCACATATGTTTTCTGTCACGATCAAGAGCCGTCTCAACATTCAATGTCGCAGTGGTAAAGTTTTCTCTGGTCGGACTTGGAGCAACCCACATCGCAGACGCATCCCAAGTTCCGTCACTGCTCGAGCAAGGAACGGCCTGCTGCCTCAACCATATCCCCATATCCCCAGAAAGAGAGACCCTGCAAGCCCCGAAACCTAGACCCTATACGGGGTAAAATCCGCCCTGAACCACACCAGAAAAGCCCTGACCCTGAAGCCCCGAAGCCGAAAACACCCTCAAACCCGGCCGGAAAACAATCCCAATCCCTACAACCACACAACCTCCCTGAAATAAGGACTAGGGTGACCCCAAAGAGGTGGGGAAACCACGCAAGCACAAACAAAAACTTTTAAACCCTTGAGCCACGTGTCACGTTGGTACACTTCTCGATGTACCTTAGTGTGTCATCCTTGCGCAGGGCGAGACAATGCCATGCGACCTGATTTGTGCGTGTCTTCTTACGCAGGGGCTTTGCTTGCAAGGCCCCTTGCCTCGCACTCCCCCTGCTGTCGAGACAGCACAGGCATAAGAGCAAAAACTCAGAGGCGCTTTGCATCTGAGCACCCTTGTTCAGGAGAAATCGGGGTAACTGAAGACCACCTAAACCCAAACCATATCCATGCTCCGATGCCCCTTTGGGGCCCAAGTGATCACTGAGTGATCCGTCCCTTGCGTCTGCTCTTCGCGAGGGGTATGCATCATTAGCACAATGCAGCAGGTCAAGCTCATGAATATGTAATGCAGAGTCGCATACTGTACCTCAGAAGCCTGTCCAAATTGATTGAAACATCATGATTGGAAAAGTGTTGTGTGCGAACCGAATAACCCATCATCCACTAACAGGTATAATCAGCCTTTAAACCACGACATCAGACTATAAACACGTTGCCCAATGCGCTGAGACGGAAAACCAGGTGTAGGACCAGATAGCCCAGTTTGGAAAACCATACTGCTTGAAATCATCTTGCGCTTGATTCCCGCAATCACCACCAACTGCGGATCATGCCACTTCGAAACACCGCCGAAACGACCTTGTGGACTGCGACCATGACGAAAACCAATACCAGAAGAAATCCGATATCCGCTCGATCAAACCATCGCGTTGTTGAAGACGTAGTCATCGAAGAAGTCGAAGAAGTTGCTTGCACCAGTTCGTAGCCTTGCAACATAGTAGCCACGAGGATGGCCACGGCGGCGGCCGCTGCACGTGCTGCATCAGAAACCAAATGTGTGGTAGGAGCAGTCGTCATCTGCCACATCTGCTTGAGGTTGACAAAGATTGCTCCGTTCATCAACTTGGTCAGCATATCAGCTAGCATGTGCTCACCTTTCAAGTGTGCCACCACCAGGTACCCACTGTTTAGCAAAGACCGCAAACCGGCTGCTCGGATTCGCAAGTGACGTGTTCGCCATGCACCAGCGACAACTGAAATGATCGAGCATGCGGAAACGGAATCAATGTATAGCGCTTTGGAAAGGCCATCTTCATTGATCCCCAAAAGCATAGAAACGATAGGCGCGACAGATTGTAGCATAGTTGTTCCTTCCAGGGCAGCGTTGAGCTCAGCTTCCGCTGTGCTCAGTGCTATCGTGGTTTGGCGCTGCGTCATCCACATGACTGGGCTGTCGGCCCATACGACCACAGCTCCACTGTGTGATCTCGCCGTTTCTTCACCTTCACATCCCGCAGCAAACGATGCGTCCGTATAAGCTTCCAAGACTGTGACACTCCTTTTGAAACGAAGCTGTGAATCACCACCCAAAGACATAGGATCCACCTTCGAATACTTTAAGCCCAGTGTGACCGTCCTACTCAAGTAATGAAACACTTCATCTGCCTTTCTTGCAACAAAACGCGGATAGCGAGTACACCACACAGAAAGCTGGCTTGTGCAAAAAGCCAGATCTGCTCTGGACTTCAATGCCAGCCATAACAGCTCTCCTACGGCTGCCTGTGCTTTTCGTAGCGCCTCAACAGACACTTCCTCCGGCTCGTCAGGCGGCGCCTCCTTGCTCATTGGCCCAGCACCACCAATGCCGCCTGCATCTGCTTTAAACCCCCGTCGTTGCAACAGGTCCCTGACAAAGTCCTCCTGGTTCAAGTAGTACGCGCCATCATTCCAAAAGATTTGGATACCCAGAAACTTCAACGGTTTGTCGTCATGACCTCTTCCGCAGAACTCTGGTTCAGAAGTTTTCCATTCAGCGCGAATCTGTTGGATGGCATCTGTGATTATGGACATACTCCCGGCTAACAAAAAGTCGTCAACGTATAGTCCCAAAGTGCCTTTGACACTCTCTTTGCCGTCGGAGTCCGTCGCGATGAGCAGGTACAAGCTGGGATCAACCTCTGACTTTTTGAACCTCATGTCCAAACCATCCGTCTGCCAACGCATCTGTAAAAGCCTCGTGTCTCTCCACTCCACCCACGCAGCTGGGCTTTCCGCCAAGCCGTACAAAGCTTTTCGCACCACCCACCGCTCGGATGGCGAAGCAAGTCCAAGCTTCACCGCTGCTTTAGGCGGTTGCACAATGATTAGCCGACCCTGCCGCTGAACTTGGCTCATTGGTGCTGTCAGAAAAGCCTTGGATATATCTAGACCAGCTAGAAACCACTCTTCCTCCGCGGCTTGCCTCACTTGACACCTGAAGGTTGTAGAATCCAATCCTGGAGCGTATAGCCCTTGTCTGCGCAGCATCTTGGGACCTTGTTGTTGAACACTTGGGCTTCCTGATAAGAAGTTTCCACATGCACAAATTCTAGCTCGCCGTCGACCTGAACCTTGTTTACGTGTAAACACCACCAAGCTTGGAACATATTCAAGAACGGGTGCATCAGGAAGCTTCGCCATCTCCGCAAGTTGTTGCTCCGTAGTCCGTTCTACGACCTGCAGCTCCGTGATGAGATTGTTAACCTCATCTGACAATGCTTCTCTCCAATCCTCCAGCTCCTGCATGGCTGTTGTGGTAGGAATTGTGCGAGTTTGAAGAAACTCCTCATTGTCCCCAGCCTCCTGTGCAATCGTCTCTTGTTGCATCTTTAACAACGAACCTGCATGCTGCAAAGACTGCTCCAACTGTCGTTCGATTTCGCGAGAGTGTTGCAGCCACTCTGATGTAGCACTACCTTCAAACACCTCTGGCAACGACACTTCGGCAATCAAGTACTGCTCTTGATCCGCAATCAACCTTCTTAAGCTAGCATGTTGACTTCGAAGATGACCAATGTCTACATCCGATACAGAATTCTCGTCCCCCCCGACATCACCGAACGCGTTTTCAACGAACACTTTATCTTGGACCAAATGTTCTGTTTGACGACAATCCGACGAAGAAGATGCGCGCATTTGGAAAGCCGATGTCCAAGAGAAAACTCCGATCCACATCACAAAGTTGATCACTTCCTCGAGGCGTGAATGCTGTGATAGTCCATCTGGTGCCGCTCCACGGTTGAGGGCCATGAGCCTGTTGGGGTGAAAATGAAAAGAACTGATTCTTAATGTCCACCGTCTTGCCCACGAGGCTACGATCACCGTACTTCCGCTCCACTGCAGATTGATCCTCCCTAGAGATACCATCATCTTGCACCCACAATTCTCCACCCGTAAACTCGCCAAGAGCACAGATGACATTGTTGCACGAGTAATCGTTGTGACGATCTCTATGGACTCCCACGGCAGTGTTACACGAAAGATAAACCGATGAGAATACCACATCTGGATTGTGTTCGCGAACAAAGCTCACCAAGTACTTGACGAACATGGGCCTATGTTTTGCAGCATTGGTCACGCCGCACATATGTCCACGAACATACTGTCCCAGAGTCACAGCTTGAATGCGATCCTCATTGCAGTGAATGTCGCCTCTCCGATTCGCACGAAAATCCAACCCCACAGACTCCAAAAGTTCCAAACACTCTTGGGGTGAAAACTTCTTCTGCTCCAACCACTCACGCGCTAACTCCTCACTTTTTGCGATGTCATCAGTGTAACAGGGTTTTGCAATGCACGCACGCGGACTGTCACCCGACGGGATTTCCACCTCCAAGTCTTCCTGCAAAACCTCGCAAGCAACTGGACCCTCCCCCCGGTTCGTGCAGCATAGTGAACGAAGCGACCCATCTGGTATGAAACGCCTCAACGCTGGAAGGACCTCAGCATCCGTCTCCCTCGGAACCCGCATGGTACGAGCCACCCCTTTGAAACGCATCCGATGCTTAGGAGGCGCTGGAAGTTCCTCAGTAAACTCGGCATCACACTCCGGAACCGACGACTTATGTTCCACCTTGTCATAGACCACCGTAGTTGGAAACATAACCAGCTTGTCAGGATCATCTTTAGCGCCCCTAGCTTCAACGATGTAGCCTCCAGAAACCTCTGTGCATGGACCTAACAGTAAAGCCGGCTGTGTCCGATCCAACCACTGACGCCCTTTCTTAGAACCACTCGGATCACGAAGTTCCCAAGCCCTTCGACGCACATGAACCCGAGCACCAAATGGAAGAATATCACGAGGCTTCAATCCCAGCTGTTGTTCAGCCCATCTCCATCGAAGAGCTGACCAATGAACAGCGGCACGTGCCCAATACGATGAATCCAGATTGGCCTGCTTTAGCAGTGCGCGGACGCCTTTTTTGAACACCCCAACCGTAGCTTCACTGCGACCGTTACTCTGTGGTGATCCGGGGTCCCCGGTAGTACGAAAAATCTGTCGAGCCTCACAGAATGTACGGAAAGACTGATTCACGAATTCACCGCCGCGGTCTGTATGAAGCCGCAGAACTGGATAACCTTGATGTTGAAGCTTGACCAAGATACGCTGTGTAGCGGCTAAAACTTCCGATCTGTGTTTGCTTTTGAGAGGTTCGGCAATCATGAAGTTAATCATGCGCACTGGTTTAGTGGCATGATCCTTCAAAGCACGCCAAGCCTCTTCTGACTCGATAACCTTTTTGACCTCAACCTCCGAAGCCTCCAAACGCTCGTCAGGAGTCACAATATCCCCGTCTTCAGGCTCTAAAGACACATCATCCGCACCATCACCTTCTTCATGCGCTCCCACCACATCGTCAGGAATAGGGAAACCCTCTTCAGTAGCCGGTTTATCCAACAAAGGAAACTGATACGTACCAATCAACACATGACGCTGCGTTTGATACAGATCTTTAGCCTCCTGCCAAGGACCACCCAAATCCAATGAAAGAGTATAAGCGCTGCCATACTTTTGTCGAAGGTGACGCCGATCTTTACCTGCAGCCCGAACGCAGACCTCACAGTCTTTACGGAAAGGTATGTGACCCCTCAAGCAATGATCTCGATACTCAGATTCCTCAGCTGTGAGTTTGGCCAGGTGTACCGCCCTCTCCTCAGAAACAGCTTGATGCTCCACGAAAGATGAGTGTGCCAACCACGCCCGCAAACATCGCTTGATCCGCGTTGTAAGCCCCGGAGCCCACAAGGACCACGACCTAGACATAGCCAACCGTTGACTAGCCTCCTCGGGTACTGACACCACCCATGGGACGCGCACATGAACCTGCTCTAGAGACTCCCACAACTGAAAATCGGAAGTAAGAACCGTCGTTGGCTTGACCATATAATGACCCAAAGCACCCTGATCACAATGTGCTGCAAGAAGGTTGTACCGAGTCCTGAAAGATCGCACCTCTGGCCATGCGAAAAATGTTGGAGAAGCTAGGCTGGGTTGACCTTCTTCTGCAACATCTTCCCTGCACATAACTGAACAACCAATCTGAGAAAACTTTTGCCCCACCAATTCTGGATCTTGCGGACTCTCCAATGCGAAAAACACACCAGCATGTACCGAAGAGGATTGCTCCAATGACAAAGCTTTTCGTGCCTGAACAGCTGTCTCAAACAGGAATAGCACCTTCAAAAACAGTAGGCCGTCTTTCTTAGCCAGTTCCTCACTTGAATAGCTGAGCCCATCCTTCCAGAAACGCCCCTCATCACACCTCCCTCGTAGCACTGGTGGTCCACCGTCCTCAACACCCCTGAACTGAGCCACAGTCTCACATGGCGGGCCACCTACCACTGCAACGACCTTGCCCTCAATTGCCAGCGAGAGGATGTACGTCCACACGGAAGAAGAATGAAGGTCAGTACGAAAATCCACTTCTAGAACTTCGCCACAACTACTTGGTAAGTGCAATCGCGGACCGCCTGAGTGCAGATGAACGATGACGCGTCTGGTTTTCTTTAATCGCCGTCTTTTGTGACGATTGTAAAGCAACTCCCCCACTCCCGAGGCAGGAAGAAGATCCACAAGCATCGATTCCGGGACATCAGGATAGTACCAACGCAACCAACGCCAGCATGCCTGAATAAAGTCATCTTGATTTCCACTACGCATAGCACCATGAAGACACTCACGTACTGAATGTTCCGTGTCTGCAGATGGACACCCTTGAAGCGCACGTACAGACTGCAACATGTGAGCAACCCCCTTTTGCTCCATTTCATCAATGATTCGTAGAGCAACCGCCTCAGCAATGCAAGGGCAACCATTGACCGTCTCAACTTCCAGAGGGCCCAGTATTGGATGCGTAGCCGTACACTTTCCTTTGCGCCAACGAACCTGAAGACCAACCAATTCGCTAGCCTTGCCAATCGGAACCAAAGGATCCACCCGCTCGCTTGTAACTAGAGTACCACCATCCGTGAGCATCATTTCCTTCTTGCCCAAAGCCAAAGCCACAGTCACCCTTTTTGTTGGTAACGGCTCCCCCGGACGCAAGGATCTCAAAGGATGCGAAGCCCCAGAATCAAGCAAACCCACACCTTGTGTACGGTCATGGACCCCATCCACCCGAGCAACATTGAGAAAACCAGATACCACGTCCTCTTCAGATCCAGCGATAGCCTTAGAAGCAGCAGTTCCTTGCAGAAGGTCGTCAATTGAAGACCCTGACCCCCCCCTAGCTGCTGCATCCCCCAACGCCGTTTCCAAGTCCGCAATCATGTCTAAAGCCACCTGGCGATCGATCACAATGCGGCCATCAAGGACTTGGGCTTTCAAGTCACCCTTCTGAGGATGTACAACCGTGCACCGACCGTCAATCACATCAAAGTCCACATGAAGATGCGAATGAGCAAGATGAAAAGGAACTACAGGGCAAACAGTTTCACGAGTAACCAATGTTCCCACCGAATTGATAAGCATGTGCGCGCAACCAGTGGCCAATGCAACTTCAACAGAATCTGTTGGGACAGGTTCGCCTGCCCTCAGCGTCCGAATAGCATGAGAAGCGCAGGTATCCAACAACCCCAAATTCTGCCCCACAATGGCCTCATCCACCACAAGCTTTTTGGCTGAAACACCCCCGCTGTTTGCCCCAGACCCTTGCGACAACTTAAGCGACTTCAAGATGTCCAAAGCCTCTGCCATCACGCGTGAATTGTCAGATGCCGTCGAAGAAGAAGCAACATTACCCGCACCAGAACTACCAGTATGTATTGAAGCCTCCTCCGTTGCCGTAGCTGACTTAGCCGTGGCCTTCGCCTTCGCTTTTGCCTTTGCCGTTACCAGTTTATCCATTTGCTCTTTTGTAATCGGAGAATGCGAAAACTTGCACCGATCCCCAAACTGGCAAGACTTGTCCAAATGAAAGCCCCAACATGGAGACTTGCCCCCTGGTCCTGACTCAGATTCCCTCGACTTGCCTTTCCCCTTTCCAGGTTGATCCTGTGCTCCCGCTCCTGACGGCTCAGATGTTGTGGATGTTGATGTTGTAGCTGTCGTGGCGGCGCGAGCGGCTGCTTTCGCCTCAGCCCTCGCCTGAGCCTTTGCAAGCTTAGCCTTCTTTTTTGCATCACCATCATCATCACCAGTACTGTGTAGCAAGAGTTCCAATTCAGCTTGAAGAAAGATGGCTAACTCCCCAACCGTCAAGGATGTTGGTGAATAGTCTAGCCCTTTCCGCTCCCGAAAAGTCGCCACCCGAAATAAAACCGTTGGATGTTTCGAAAGCACTGCAGAAACCATTGTGTCAAGACCTTTCACTAAAAGTGTAGCATCCGGTTCAGCTGCATGTAGTTCTTTCAATCGCGACCTCCATTGCACCCACTGTCTGACTCCCTTGATCGCCTCCTGCACTGAAGTAGCCGAGGTAGGTGACACCAGATAATGCAACATTGTGCCTCTCTCATGGGCGCCGCCCGGTTGGTATACCGTAAGGAGTTTGAAGAGAATCTGGGAAGGGGACATCCGTCTTGTGGCTACAATATCTGTCTTTACAACTTCAGGAATCGCCTGGAGCAAGAGAATTGAAGCCCGCTGTTCCAATAAGATGTGCTGTGGCATGTGCGTACCATACATCTCTAACTCCGCCTGGATGCCAAGCCGCTCTAATGGTGACACCGAGAGCCACTTAGTGTACGCGCGCGAAGCTCGATCAAAGGTGTAGTCCCACCACACATGGCCCGAATCTGTCAAACTAGAAAGTGTAGGCTTGACAATCGCCAACCAATCACCCAAAGCTGTAGGATTTGATGCGCTGTATTCCGATAGAGTTGGCAACGACATGACATGTTTGCCCAGCACCTCTGGACGCTCCACGGTATGCCCCATCCCACTCGCCACCTGCGGAATAGAAGACGACGGACCTGGATGAGGAGAAGCAGCAGGAGTTAAAGCCACAGGAGAAATATCCAAAGTACCGTTGATCACCCGCCACTTGTAAGGAATCCCAGAAATCATGGTGACCCCAGCCGCTGCTTCACTGGATGTGTGATCCCGAGACACCGAAGTTGCAGGAGCAGGACGTCCGGGTGATTGACCAAAGGTTGGAGCATTGTCCGCAACCGAACCCCTAGCACCACTCCCACCCGAACCCCGAGAATCCTGAAAAGGGAAAAACGGCTGTACAGGATGCTTTTGGTTGGCACTACCACTCAGACTACCAACTACTTGCCCCAACGATTGCGACCCGGGGCCCTCAAAGACCTCTGGCCCGATTGAAGAGCTGGCGTTCCTGTGTGGCACATCCACCCTCGCTGCTGACGGTATCGCGCCACTCAGGATCCCCTGCCCCTCCACCGAGCTAGAGATCTTTGGTGGCACCATCAAACCAGGAGTAGATGCACCCACGACTTCATGAGCAGCTAGCGCGCGATCCCTTGCAAAGCTCCCCTCCTCTAACTCCGCCATGTTAAAGATCACCGCTCCAACTGGAATTCGATTCTCATCAACCCACTCCCACTCACCAGCGGCTGTGAAATTCCAAATGGTTCCCAATGCATCCCGATAATACTCCTTTCCTTCAAGAATAACCGCACTAGATTCCAAAGGTCTTTGCACATCCACGTCTGATGGAATGCTTGTCGTCGGAGCCTGCAAACCTGGAGGATGCTGTGGAACAAACTTGCCCAGCGACACTGTCTCTACAGACTTTCCAGAATGTATCGAGCCAAAACTTCTCTCTTCTACTCTCTGCATTCTCTCTGATAGTTGCGCTTGGAATTGCGCTTGGCTTTCCATCATAGTTTGCAACAGAGTTTCCAAGCGGCTCAAGCGTCCCAGTTCCGGTTGGTCTGGAATCAACTCTTCTTCTGTTTTATCTGGTTTAATCGTAGTTGATGAAGAAGGCGTGGCGGCTGGAAGACCGTCCACCGGCTGAACTTCCCTACTCCCGCGATCCAGGGCTGACGAAGGCAACGGTTGTGGAACTGTTGGGCGCCTAACGGGACCATAACTAACTGGATTACCTACTGGAACCGTTACCCCCGCATGCCCAGCAACGCTTGAGTCTTCCAAGGGTGGTAAAGTTGCAGGTCTCATCTGCCGAAGTTGGGATTCTGTCCGCGCTCGCTCACTCCAAAATGCATGTGGTGTGCTTACAGACTGCATCTCATGACTGCGAGCCACTGCGCTTGACTGCATCTCTTGATTGCGAGCAGTCACGCCTGACTGCATCTCATGACTGCGAGCGGTCACGCTTGACTGCATCTCATGACTGCGAGCGGTCACGCTTGACTGCATCTCATGACTGCGGGCCACTTCACGACCATCTAACAAAGCAGGAGCAGGCCCAGCAGAACGCGAACGACGCATAACAGGATCCATGGCTTAGCACAGGGGGAACCGCGTTTGGGCTCCTAACCTACGGGGTAAAATCCGCCCTGAACCACACCAGAAAAGCCCTGACCCTGAAGCCCCGAAGCCGAAAACACCCTCAAACCCGGCCGGAAAACAATCCCAATCCCTACAACCACACAACCTCCCTGAAATAAGGACTAGGGTGACCCCAAAGAGGTGGGGAAACCACGCAAGCACAAACAAAAACTTTTGAACCCTTGAGCCACGTGTCACGTTGGTACACTTCTCGATGTACCTTAGTGTGTCATCCTTGCGCAGGGCGAGACAATGCCATGCGACCTGATTTGTGCGTGTCTTCTTACGCAGGGGCTTTGCTTGCAAGGCCCCTTGCCTCGCACCCTAAACCCTCCAACTTTGAGAAAGGACGAAAACTTCAACCCAACGGAAGGAGCTGACCGTTGCCTTGAACCGGGTCAAGGACAAAGGATACCAGGCTCCTTGGAGCCTTTAGGGTTTGACCTTTCGAGGTCGGAAGGATTCGTGGTAGTGTATCCCCGGATATCCCAAGTTTGTAGGTCCTTAAGTTACTCTAGAGCAGCTTCCCTACCCGCAGTGGGGAGAAGTCGCTTGCGTCTTCAAACCCGAAACCCAAAACCCTATACAACTAAAGCATAGCTCTTCACCTTAAGCCTGCTTTTTGTAGGTTTTAGGGTTTAGGGATTAGTCAATGGCTTCAGCCAGCATGCCATCATCTTTCCAGCCCTCCTAATCCCCTCTTCAAAGTATGTACTGCTCGTTGTTGCGCCTACCAGTGAAGTTCCTGACCTGTCTTAGACCCCAGAAACCGAATGCAATATCCCAATAACCCTGAACTCCAAAACCCTGAACTCTGAACCCTAAGGCCTGAAACCCTATAAACTTTCCTATCTGCCTTATGAAACAGATAACCATGTACATACATATTCATATATATACACACACATATACACACATATACACACATATAACTTCATATATGGCAGGACTATAATTGAATCCAAAAACCCTTTCCTAACTTGTGCTATCCCTGTATCATGTAGGTCATGCTGAGTGATTGGCCCTAATGTCTTCAATCCGAGGCTGTGCAAATGAGAACCTCCTAAATTCAAAGGGGAAAAGGAGGGACCCTTAATGGGGACCCCTGCCCTATAATGGGCTATATAATGGGTATATAATAGCTAATATATTAAGGGTATATACATAGGGGTCCTTATTAAGGGTCCCTCCTTCTACCCTTGGATAAATCCCGGACCCTGAACGGGGATGGGGATTGCCTGGCTCTTCAGGCCTCCCAGTTAACCGGCCCAAAGAGAAGCAGGCGCGGGTAGGTAGCTTTTATCCTGGCTTTTGGCCTCGGAGCTTAGGGCTGTTGGGGTTTAGGGTTTAGGGTCTTCGGTGGTTTAGGCAGCGCAGCTGAGCATATACATCAACTCCGAGCAAGTCGCCCTCACTTGATTTGTTTAATGCTCTTTTGCCGTCTCTTCACATCGATTGTCTTTGGTAAGGCTCATATGGCAAGGTTAGGGTTACAAAGGGGGTTGATCTTTCCACAGTCCTTCAACTTCGATGCGTGCTTCCTCCAAGTCGTGTGAGTTTACGCTCGAAACCCAATATCTTAAACCCTAAACCGTAAACCCCAAACCCCAACCCTAACCCTAAACCCCAAGCCCTAAGCCCTAAACGCCTGTTAAACTGAAAACCCGGAAGCGAAAAGCCAAGACCGGGGGGCTCAGAGCCCCCAGGTATCCAAAACCCCTTAATGGAGCAATGTACCTTAAAGGGTTCTTTGAAGGGATCTATAAGGAAAATTAAGGAAGATGCCTTAAGTTATATCAGGACCCCTAGTATGATGTAAGAATTTAAGGTATATTCCTTCATTAAGGGGTTTTGGAGTCTCTGGGTCCGAAACCCGAAACCAACAACCAAGCCCTAATGCCCGTGCCCCAGTTGTTCAGGATATGGTGTTGGGGTAGGCTGCAGTATAATGACAGCAAGAATCTTGAGCAGAGTAGTAATTGTACAGGCCTCTATAGTAACAGTTGCAAATCTCGTCAATTGTGCATTTCCAAAACTCCATGTAGACTAGATGGGCCGCTGACCTCAAACACTCAACCTCGATCCCCAAACCCCTCGCCAACACGGCGGGTGCTCCACAGGACAGTCTGATCAGGAGCCTCATCCGCTGAGCCTCTGCGCTGTTGCTTCTGTGTAGGTCCCCGTGTGGGCTCCCAGGGTGTGGGGATTGGATGAGGGAGTATAGGGACCCCAAAAAGCACATAAGCATAAGCGTTTGATAGGGACATCTCAACTGACTTATTGAGCTTCATGATAAGGGGTTTTATGGGATATCCCTATCCTAATTTTTGCTTCTGTGCTTTTTTAGGGGGCCCTAGAGTAGGACTTCAAAATAAGGTTTAGGCTTTAGGCCCTTGCGATGCTCATTGCCTTGAAAAGCCCTGCAATCCTAAACCCTAAACCCCCTAGACCCTGAACCCTTTAAGAAAAAACCTAAACCCTAAACCAGAACCCTATACCCTAAACCAGAACCCTATACCTAAACCCTAAGCGTCCTTCCAGCAGTTGCAGAGCTCTGTCGCCTTTGGGCGATTTGCTCTCAATCAGGATCCTAGCCACGCCTCACTGTTTGCCTAGACCCTAGACGAACCCCAGCCTTATCTGTTTGTTTTGGGGATGGAATAAGTCGTAGTTCTACTCGACTATTCTCCACAAACCTACCTGTAGGGTCATATCCTACCCTCATTTCACGGTACCCAGTTTATGGTTAGGATCTGTGATCTAGAAACATAAGTAATCCAAAGGGGGCTACGTTACGACCCTATCGGTATTCTGATTAGCAAGCACCGAATTAAACCCAAAACCCTCGACCCAACCCCAAACCTTGGAGTATGCTTGCGTTAGCCCTAACCCTACTAGGCCCCACCAAAACCCTCTGCCCTACAACAGCCTGTATCAGAGAGCTCCAACCCGATCTGTGGTTTATGCATCTGCACCTTTTTGCGGGTTGTACCATTCGAGCAGACTATCAAAGCCCCGAAACCCTCAAACCCCAGTGCCTGAACACCCCCAGAGACTCCAAAACACCTTAATTAAGGAATATACCTTAAATCATATTAGGGGTCTTATTATAATTAAAGGTATATTCCTTAATTAAGAGGTTTTGGAGTCTCTGGGCCTAACCCCTGAGCCCCAAACCCAAAACCCCTAAACCCTAAACCCTAAACACCTAACCCCTGAGCCCCAAACCCAAAGCAAGCTCCCAAGATGAAGGGCAATTCCCTCCCCAGAGGACCGGTCCCCAAGACGTTTTCGGAGTTTAGAGTGCAGATGGTGCCATGCGGCCAACATCGCGACATCGAGTCAGCTAAGGTTTAAGATGGGTTTAGGGTTCAGGGTTTAGAGTTTAGGGTTTAGGGTACATTGGGAACTCTGAGTGTGTACAGGGCTCCTAGAATGAGTGGTGAGTTTACATTTGGTTTGGACTGTCCGCACCTAAATACTCAACTCACATGGCCCTGCCTAATGTTGACGACTGCAAACTACATATAGGGCTTGTTCGCTCTGCGCAGGGTTGACTTCCATAGGCTGTAGATGTTTGAAGAGCCGTATGCCCAAACCCCAGAACCTACATCCCTCAATGCTGGACGCTGAATCCGTGAATCGTAAATCAATATGTCCTGGAACCTTTATGATCCTTAATTGCAGCAACCGATGCAGGAAATCTTAAATCCCAAAATCCCAAGAGTTGGCCGCTGGATTAACGCTCTACTGCCTTGGAGTTGCTTGGGAGCGACAAGGAAAAAGTTGAAAGCTGAAACCCTGTACGGTTTGAGGGTTTCGGGATATGGGGTTGGTGGTCTAGGGATTGTCAAGGTTTAGAGTTTAGGGGTTTATAATTTAGGGATTTGGGTTTGGGGCTGTCTAGGGTTTGGCTGGAACCAGGAACTCCTTGCCCTGTGCACTAACTACGTTTCTTGATGCTCTTACCATTACAACTGTGCTACACGGGATTTCCTCTGATTTGCCCCAACCCCCCTCAGGCAACATCCTCTGCAGCCACAGGGCAAGTCAAAGCCCAGCAGCATAGCATGTGAGCTTAAGCAATAAACGTTGGTTCCTCGGGTTCCTGAATGATAGTACACCCCCCCCCCAGAACCCTGTTATTGCCATGCTAATACGAATTAGTCTTATGATGGTGATTATTATTACCCTGGGCATCAAAATAGCCCAAGGCCCGAAAGCCTTAATATCTGAGTCCTTAGATGCCTCGGGTCAGGGCCTCTGTACCCTAAACCCTAAACCCCTAAACCCTACTTGGAGGGTCGGGGGACTTAGTAAGTAGG